TTCTAAATGCAGAAAGCAGACCCACTTATATAAAAACAAATTACTTGATATTGTGTTGTTATTGAAAAATAGCTTCTCTGTGCCTCTTTGTAGAAATACTTCAACGAAAATTGACTACAACTGCAGTTGAAGATTCTTCTTGCCATCCATATCAAAACATTTAAAAACTGAAAAATGATTGACAAAATGAAGATGTAAAAAATAAATACGCCTTCTAAAATTTAAATATCAAATGAACTTGCATCAATATAGAAAACTTTGGACAACAAGATCAAGCTATATAATAAGATTATGGAAATAGGAGTACACCTATAAACCATTCATGTTCAGTGTCATATAGTTTTTATAAAAAAATCACTAAACAATCCAGAATGAGTTCGAAAAATAGTATAGAAATTGGTACATAACATGAAGACTATGTGTACCATACCGTTTAGTGTGACCTTTGACATCGACTTTTGACATGAAGGTCAACTTTATATCATTGATATGTGTCGTCGTTTCGCCAAGACTAGATAATTCATTATCGTTTGATTATGTTTGAGATTCTATCTGTTGCATATATACCAGTATGTCTGACAGATGACCTTGGTTTAATTTTTTTTTTCTTTTTCAGATACTATACTAAAACGTATATCCGTGTATTTTTGTCTAGACGTCATCTTATTACTGGAATTGTACTTATTTTTGCTGTGTATTTATTTTCACGAACTTTGCGGTTGGTATATTATCGCGAAAATAAAAGCATGTGAATTTAAATCCAACCTTTCATCTATGCATGCAAACTTGACCTTACATCGTTGACATGACATGAGTTACAAACGGGTAGACATGATTAATAACAAACCTTTCTAAAATTGTTCGTTAATAAATTTTGAAATTATTTAGAAACTAAGGTTTCAACTCTCTCAGGCAAAGTTGACGTTAGATGGATTTGGCTATTTTTTAGGTCCATTTTGGTCGTATAGTTCTTCAACTATTTCGGTTCTTATACAACCTTGGCTTTCAAATATTTGGCATTGAGCGTTCCTGGTGAAGGTAAATCCAGAAAAAACGCTTCAGATGCATGTAATTTTTATACGACCGCAAAAAAATTTTGCGGTTGTATATTGGTATGACGTTGGCGTCGTCGTCGTCCGAAGACACATTGGTGTTCGCACTCTAACTTTAGTTTAAGTGAATGGATCTCTATGAAATTTTACCATAAGGTTCAATACCACAAAAGGAAGGTTGGGATTGATTTTGGGGGTTATGGTACCAACAGTTAAGGAATAAGGGGCCAAAAAGGGGCCAAAAATAAGCATTTGTTAGTCTTGTATTATTTTTAATTTTAGTTTCTTGTGTACAATTTGGAGTTTAGTATGGCGTTCATTATCACTGAACTAGTATATATATTTGTTTAGGGGCCAGCTGAAGGACGCCTCCGGGTGCGGGAATTTCTCGCTGCATTGAAGACCTGTTGGTGGCCTTCTGCTGTTGTCTGTTCTGTGGTCGGGTTGTTGTCTCTTTGACACATTCCCCATTTCCATTCTCAATTTTATTTTTGTAACTTCCAGACATAACTTGTGTGTTAGTGTATGGATCTCTCTGACATTGTACCACAAGGTTCCATATCACAAAGGGAATGCTGGGATTGATTTTGGGGGTAATTGCCTCAAAATTTTAGGAAGTAGGGGCCAAAAAGGGGCCAAAAATAAGCATTTTTCTAGTTTCATGATAATAACTTGTAAGTGTATGGATCTTTCTGAAATTGTACTACAAGGTTCCATATCACAAAGGGAAAGCTGGAATTGAGTTTGGGGGTAATTGCCCAAAATGTTTAGGATTTAGGGGCCAAAAAGGGTAAAAAAACAAGCATTTTTCTAGTTTCAGGACAATAACTTGTGTTCAAGTGTATGGCTCTCTCTGAAATTGTACTGTAAGGTACCATACCACAAAGGGAAGGCTGGGATTGATTTTAGGGGTAATTGCCTCAAAATTTTTTTTTCATTAAAATTTTCCATTTTAAATTGGTTATTTCTGATTTAAATATAAAAGCAAATAATAATGATATGGTTTGAATAGGTAAATTAAAAAAAATTTAGTTCTTAGACCACATTCATTCTGTGTCAGAAACCTATGCTGTGTCAAATATATAATCACAATCCAAATTCAGTGCTGTATCAAGCTTGAATGTTGTGTCCATACTTGCCCCAACTGTTCAGGGTTTGACCATTGTGGTTGTATCAAGCTGCGCCCAGCGGAGCATTTTATTAACATGTTGTTTTCATTTTTTAATCCGTAATAAATAAACTAGATTAATATCAACAGGTGACAAGTAGAAACCAATTAAAGATCAAAGAAACAATAATGACTCAGATTACCTTGAACCATATGACTTTCTATTGTACATGTTGTAGATGTTATCGATTGATATACAAACATGTGTGTATAGTAGAGACAATACTTATGAAAGCTTTAATGTCATCATTTGATAACAAACAAAATTATAATTATATTCAGATTTTATGAAAAGAAAACCAGCACAAATAAATACCGGTACACAAGAAGATTATTTGCAAATAACCAAAGTTACTAAATTTTCACAATGTATGTCATTTACTGACGGCGACTTCTGCTTTATCGGTTTTAACCCATACTCTTTATAAACTTTCATCTTTTACATTCTGAAATGCAGTTAGCTGACACGACCATTTCAGCTTTCTCTGGCGTAGAAGTCTCATGAGGATCAGGCAGAAACGGACGAAAAGGTGGTTGATGTGGTTCATAGGTGTTTCTCGTTTCTCGTTTTCTTATAGATAAGAAAGTTTGATTTCCTGTTTGAATTGTTTTTCACTAGTCATTTTTGGGGGCCTTTATAGCTTGCTGTTCGATGTGAGCCAATTGGCTCCGTGTTGAAGGCCGTACTTTGACCTATAATTGATAACTTTGTACATATTGTGACTTGGATGGAGAGTTGCCTCATTGGCAGTCATACTACATCTTCTTATTTATACTGGTCCTTTTCATGAATTAACCAACGTTTTTAAATATTGAATTACAAATGAAGAATGACAAACGAATGAATTAAAATTGAAATTAGTTCAGTTATTTCGGTATTCTTACTACTAACATTTTACCCGTTGGCTATTAACGCTTTTACTTTATATTTAATACAGTATTCCAACGGCTATTTACGCATTTACTTTTAAAACAGTTCATATTGACACACGAGACAATAATTAAACCGAGTTTTTAATTTTATTTTCGAAACAAAAATCGCGAAAATAAATACCCGCAAACTTGTTTGTAATGCACAGTTCGCGAAAATAAGTACCCACGTAAAAAAAGTACAATATCCATCGAGATGACCTCCGAAGACTGCCGACGTTAATATGCCCCGATATAGAAATAGATATAATTATAAATAGATAGCGACCACGTGCAATTGGATTTTTCTAGTTCTGTTTTATTTCATATTATAGGTTAAAAGTATGTTTATCAGTTTTTACCTGTATAAGAATATTTTTTTTGTGGATAGAATCAGTCAACCAAATAGTTCAGCCTCGTTTCACTTTCAATGCTGACATTCTTTTCTTTTTAATAGCTGAATACGTGCGTAACCCATCTCTAGCTAAGGGGGTTGAATTGAAGATCGCATGAATAAGGATTCAATGCGGTCGAATTATTCACTTGCAAGTGAATAATTCATTATAGATGTTTTTAAGCTTATTTTGACAAAACTGGACTAAATTGGCTGATAAAAGTGAATTATTTTTTCACGATTTCACCTTTTTATACGACCGCAATAACATTTTGCGGTCGTATATTGGTATGACGTTGGCGTCGTCGTCGTCCGGCGTCGTCGTCGTCCGAAGACACATTGGTGTTCGCATTCTAACTTTAGTTTAAGTGAATGGATCTTTATGAAATTTAATTATAAGGTTCAATACCACAAAAGGAAGGTTGGGATTGATTTTGGGGGTTATGGTACCAACAGTTAAGGAATTAGGGGCCAAAAATAAGCATTTTTGTAACTTCCAGACATAACTTGTGTGTTAGTGTATGGATCTCTCTGACATTGTACCACAAGGTTCCATATCACAAAGGGAATGCTGGGATTGATTTTGGGGGTAATTGTCTCCAAATTTTAGGAATTAGGGGCCAAAAAAGGGGCAAAAAACAAGCATTTTTCTAGTTTCATGACAATAACTTGTGTGCAAGTGTATGGATCTTTCTGAAATTGTACCTCAAGGTTCCATATTACAAAAGGAAGGCTGGAATTGATTTTGGGGGTAATTGCCTCAAAATTTTCGGAATTAGGGGCCAAAAAAGTTGCAAAAAACAAGCATTTCTCTAGTTTCATGACAATAACTTGTGTGTAAGTGTATGGATCTTTCTGAAATTGTACTACAAGGTTCCATATCACAAAGGGAAAGCTGGAATTGAGTTTGGGGGTAATTGCCCAAAATGTTTAGGAATAAGGGACCAAAAAGGGGCCAAAAATAAGCATTTTTCTAGTTTCCAGACAAAAACTTGTGTTCAAGTGTATGGATCTCTCTGAAATTGTACTGCAAGGTACCATACCACAAAGGCTGTGATTGATTTTGGGGGTAATTGTCTCAAAATTTTAGGAATTAGGGGCCAAAAAGGAGCAAAAAACAAGCATTTTTCTAGTTTCAGGACAATAACTTGTGTGTAAGTGTATGGATCTTTATGAAATTGTACTACAAGGTTCCATATCACAAAGGGAAAGCTGGGTTTGAGTTTCGGGGTTATTGCCTTAAATGTTTAGGAATTTGGGGCCAAAAAGGGATGTTGTGTCCACACTTGCCCCAACTGTTCAGGGTTGACCTCTGCGGTCGTATCAAGCTGCACCCAGTGGAGCATTTTATTTAATGATTGTACAAAAAAAAATTTTTTTTTATTTTTTGATATATCGTAGCTAATGCCTTATAATAAAAATCTTGAGTAAACCACTATACTTGGGGAAAAAACGCAGTTGATTTGTCTCATTGCAGGATGAGCTTGAAATGAGGAAGGCGATGTACATTGGAGAGTTGACGAAGCTGTTTTCTTCAAATGATCTCAAAGAACATATAATCTACCAAACTCTCTTTTTTATTGATGCAAGAAACAAAGATGACCCTGAAATACATCAACTTACCACGCATTTGGTGGATATTGCATTTAAGCAACCATCTTGGGGTCAGCCAATGCCGGTCGCATGGGTTCCTTTGGAGATACAGTTATCAGAGATGAAAAGCGCCAGGATCTGTAAAAACTTTGTAAAAAAGTCTGAATTACAGGGTTACAACTTACAGAATGATGATTTCGTTCTTACGGATTCTCAGTTTGAGAATTTTCTTAAAAAACAGCATTCCCTTGGGAAACTTCTGTACTTTGGAGAGCATGGTATCGATGATTTTATAGTTATTCAGCCATCAGCTCTTGTAAATGTGTTGAGATCCTTTGTAACTGATGAAATGTTTTGGCCAAAAGACAAAGAAATTATTGACATTTTGCCAAATTTAAGTAAGACGGGAGTGATCGATAGAACTGATCTATATAAATTATGGGAACAAAAGCATTTTAAAAAACTCATACCAACTGAGGACCTGAGGAAGTTTATCATTGAAGTCCTCATTCATCTTGACATACTTGTGGAACCAAAGCATTATAGTGGAGCAGAACGATCAGCTGATTTTTTCTTAGTACCTTGTATGATAAAGGAAAAGGCACCTAGCTCCTTCCTTCGTACGGAGGAAATGAACGAAAAAGCGATATGTCTGTGTTATCGCCTGAAAAAGTCATCTGTTCCAGCAGCGCTGTTTTTCAAGCTTATAGGTTCAGCATTAAATGTACTGCCAATCAAAGAAACCGATGGACGTCCATGCCTTTACTACAAAGCTGCTGTATTATCTGTTGATAATGATAATGAGTGCAGAATACACATGGAAGGCAGCAGAATAGTTGTAAATCTGATAAATAGGGCATCAAGATTACAAATATTACCAGATATAGCAGCAAGTATCCAAGAATGTCTTACTTTGACACTAACAAACGTACTACACTTTTATTATACCTGCATGGGAAAGGATATAAAACAATTTGACATTTTGAAGTTATTTGACAAAGAAGTTGGCACTCCTTGCGGCAAGGGATTTTGTTTTATTCCTTTAAATGAAGCAATGAAAAAGAAAACATGGACTTGTGAAAATAAAACAGTCCATACTACAGACCTGCTATTGAACTGGATGTTGGATGAGGTTTGTACTTTCAGTCCTTTCTTTATTCTTTATATAATATTTAACTTTAATTTAATGTCCCAATTTTAGACAAATTTCATTCAGTATTAATGTTACATTGACATTGTGAAATCGGCTCTTTAATGGATGTCATTACATATTTATGATCGCTTATGTGCCGTAGTGGCTATTAAAACAATGAATTTGTAAAAAAAATATTGAAATAATACTTGGAAAAGAAAACAACATATATCATGTATATGGACCAAGGGCAAAAACAAACATGGTATTTAAGATATATAGAAAGAAATCATGTTGGTAAGATTTTACAATAATCTTTTCTTAGAACCATGCTTTAAGACACATTTAGTATTATTATAATTACTCCGTCTTTTTTCAGACTATTTGTAAAGAAGAATGCCCACCTGACTGTAGTGGTAAGTAAAAAATTTTTAAACAGATTTAAGAATGTACATAATTGATTTATGTTCATCGTTATCATTTTGCTAAGTTTCTTCTGTTTCCTTATTTAACATCTGACTCGGACTTCTTTTTAACTGAGTTTGACTGTGCGTATTGCTGTGTGTTCTTTTATTCCACATTGGCTAGAGGTATAGGGGAGGGTTGAAATCTCACAAAACATGTTTAACCATGCCACATTTTGCGCTTGTCCCAAGTCAGGAACCCCTGGCCTTTGTTAGTCCATTAGTTTGTTTCCATTCTCAATTTTATGTATCTAGAGATAGTGGATATAATACTTGAATTTGTTTTGTTATTTACTTGTATTTCTCCGGTTAAGCAATTAATAGCAAGTAAGCTTTTATCATTTAAATTGTAATCACTTTTGTTAACAATATAAGGTATACAACATGTACAAGGTAAAACATCTTTACTGAATTAAAATAATCGGAAGCTCATGGACATATTATTTTACCCTTAAATCTGACAGTAGCAATTCGCTTGAATTTCTTGATAAAAATATTAGCCTTTACTACGTTTTTGCATTTCAAATAATTACGAAACTAATGATTCTCTTTGGGTTTTGTTGTTCTTTATAGGTCTTTTTTGTCAAATAGGTCCTAAATAATTTAAATAAACTTGGCGTTCAAAATTTTGGATTTGATCTGATAAAGGTACATCCAGAAAAATGCTTCGGATATGCCTAATTCATGAAGTGTTATTTTGATTTTACAACGGTATGGATCTCTCCAATAAATAACATAATACATTTCTAATGTACTTTTATTTGTCAGTTGCTTCATTGAGATTGTGAGCTATACACATGACTCCTATATTGCCATTAACATAACAGACCGCTACTTGAAAATTGCAATACCGTTATTACATTATTGGAGAACACACGTTGCCTCTTCTTTCATTTAATATCATATACACATGTTTGTAGGAATACCGACAGCAGTCTTAATTGAAAGTCCTAGTGAAAAACATCTCATAAGACTAGCTTCAGTATTGGATATCACAATGTTCCATCATTTCTTCCTGCATCTTGGAATGGAGACAAAAGACTGGCACAACATTCAGTATACATACTGGCAGCCTGTGGATGCTATGTTTATGGCATTAATGACATGGAGAGACAAAGGTTCGATGGTAACATTCAAGAAGATCTTAGATGCCTTTGAAAAGGTGGAGGACAATCAGCATCATTTATGCAAGGTACATCGAGGCTGTGAATTGTATATATAATCTAATCATTTTAGCGGTATTTTAAACAAAGCCATATAAGCGGGAGATTTAGCTAGCCATAAAACCAGGTTCAACCCACCATTTGTTCTTGGAATTCCCTGTGTCAAATCAGGAATATGGCAGTTGTTGTTAGATGGTTCGATTCTATGTGCGTTAGCGTTTGTTTTTGTTGTATTTTAATGTTTCAGTTGTTCCGTTGTTTTCCTCTTATAGATAATGTGTTTCCCTCGGTTTTGGTTTGTGACCCGGAATTGTTTTCGCTTGGTCAATTTATGACTATTGAACAGCGGCATACTACTGTTGCCTTTCTTTATATAAATTACACAGCATTTGAGTTGTCAAAATTAATTTACTATAATGTAATTTTCACTACCTTGGTTTCAACCCATTAGGGTTGGTTTGCTTTCGAAGGACGGTATCACACCATAAGAATTTTTAAAGAAGAGTACCAAATATGTAATAGGTAAATTACTATATCAATGATGCTTAAATTATCCCTTCATGAATTTTGTGATCATGTTTTGGTGTTGTGTTTGACGTTGTTATAAAAGCGGGAGGTTTGGCATGCCACAAAACCAGGTTCAACCCACCATTTTTTCTTAAAATGTCCTGTACCAAGTCAGGAAAATGGCCATTTTTATATTATAGTTCGTTTCTGTGTGTGTTACATTTTAATGTTGTGTTTTTGTTGTGTCGTTGTTCTCCTCTTATATTTGATGCGTTTCCCTCAGTTTTAGTTTGTAACCCGGATTTGTTTTTATCTCTATCGATTTATGAGTTTCGAACAGCGGTATACTACTGTTGCCTTTATCTAGATTCAAATAGCAGATATAATTTATCCACTTTTAATCCAAATCGTTTTATTAACCCGTCTTGGAAGAGGCTTATTATGGTACACTGTGTCAGCCATTCTTTAACACTACATACGATAACTCATTTGCTTGAACCAATTATTATGAAATTTTAACACAGCATTTGGCATGACGGCAGAAAAAAATGAAGACAACACGTTATTAATTAAATGCGTCCGAAGCGCTTTTCTGGATTAACCTTCATCAGGAACTCGCAAAGCCGAATAATTGAAAGCCAAGGATGTATATATATAAGAATCGAATCTTTTGAAGAGCTATATGAATAGCCAAATTCATATAAAGTCAACTTTGCCTCAGGGAGTTCAAACCTCAGTTTCTTTATAATTTCAAAATTTATAAACGGATAATTTTAGAAAGGTTTGTTATAAATCATGTCAGTCCCGAAGTACTCACTAATGGGCTGATGATACCCTCGAGGACTAGTAGTCCACCAGCAGAGGTATCGACCCAGTGATGTAAAAAAATGAAGACAACACGTTATAAATTTAACGCGTCCGAAGCGATTTTCTGGATTTACCTTCATCGGGAACGCTCAAAGCCGAATAAATGAAAGCCAAGGATGTATTAGAATCGAATCTTTTGAAGGGCTATATGAGCAAAAGTACCTAGAAAAATAGCTAAATCCATCTAATAATAAGTCTCTTCGCCTGAGGAAGTTTCCCTTAGATATTTTAAATTTGTGGTGTCGTTCAAGAATTTAAGGACTCCAACGGTCAAATTTAAGTATTTTTTTCACATATTGCACACTTACTCCAGTATGCTTGTATTTATTTCCTCAAAACTTTGCCTATTTTTTTTTTTGAATGATAAAAGAAAGCCTCTTTTTGATTTTTAAATTTCTGGTTTTTCGTTCAATAGTTACGGGACTTTTAGTGTCAGATTGAGAATTTGTTTTACATGTTGAACCATAACTTGAGTATACTTGGAAATAATTGATGGAAAACTTTACATAATTGGTGTAATTGGTTAAAGTAAGGTACTTTATTTGCCAAGACTCACTTTTAAGCTCTAAAAGTGTTAAGTAGAATTTGTTTTGAATTTGATATGAAGAACATTTAAATTTTTCCTTTGCCGTTTCTGAATTAGAACTTTGGATTTTTGTCATATAAAGGAAAGTTCATGTTTATTATTAAGTCAAAAGTTTTTAGAATAGTTTAAATAGTTTACCTAACACTCTACCTAATTAAAAAAAAATGGAATCATTTCAAGGTAAGCAAGGCTTCACATGACCTTGGGCTCATTTTGATGGTCATTGATCAGTTTATTTTTTTTGTGATTAATTACGTTCCCGAATTACTGTAAGCAAAAGAGAGGCGAAGGATACCAAAGGGATATTCAAATTCATAAGTCGAAAATAAACTGACAACGCTATGGCTAAATAAAGAAAAAGACAAACAGCTAACAACAATACACAAAACACAACATAGAAAACCAAAGACTGAGCAACACGAACCCCACCGAAAGCTGGTGGACTATGCTTATTGTATGTAATAATGGTATGGTGCACATGTCCGTCTATCAAGGTTTATATAACCTTAGCCAAATTTTAAAGAATCATTGATAATTTCATGTTTATTCAAAATCTGTATTTAATCTTTGATCTTACATACTTCATCATTGAATTTAATCATACTCAGTAAAGCATTTTAGCTAATACTCTTGATACACTTGACTGCATGGGGTTTAACCGGTTCACTTATCATAGACCAGTCCATTTATATACAGGTTTTGTGGGATAGAGTCAACAATGGAGTGCCCAGTTATGGCCATTGATCCGGTTAAAATATGTAAACACTATATGTGTATTCGCAAAGTAAGTAGTGAGACACAGCCGTTGATTTTCTTGTAAAATGGAGTTTTAAAACATGTAGAAATTGTCACATTTTGGAAATTGTGGATATTAAAGTATAACTATGACGACGGCTGTTGCAAAATATGATATGTTGTTTTTTTGAGAGGAAAGTATCTTCATACGCTATGCTATAAATCAGTAATAATAATTACAATAACAATCATCCTTATCCCACACATCTTCAACTAGACTGTCCTTATGCAAATTAAAACGTTAGCTCTGCCTGATCAGTTAAAATACATCGGTAATAGTTATTGGAAACAAGCAGGAAATGATTCTCAAGTAGGTTTGAATTTTTCAATAATGTTGTAAAAGTTTATTTGTTTCAATTGGTTAAATATAGCGCCAATAAAGAAACTAAAAAAAAATTTCTTTTTAGTCCATCAAAATTATATTCTATTTCGTAGTAATTGATTTGATAATGTGCTTCCTGTACAAAAATGGGAAAAAGTGTTGTCTTTTTTTTTGTTTTTTTTTTATATATATATAAATATATATTTCATACGAAGACGTCATGTAATCCATGTTGTATGAGTGCACTCAATTACTTGCATTGTTTTAACTCTTCATTACAAGATGAAAAACAATCATTTTTCAGGTATTGAAAGAACAGCCAGGATTACCAGGTGAGAAGTTTCCTCCTATTTTATACTAATTTGAATTACATTCTAAACATTTATTTTTATGACCAAATCTATTCATATACTTACTGAATTGATGATGTAAACTTTGAAGAAAAAAACATTCGATTACTTTGCATTCACCAAATTCTTGTGTTTTATGCACGCATGTTACATTATTCTGTGCAACTTCATTTAAACCTCTTACTATTTAACTTTACTCTTTATCTTACTGAGCTATACTGTGATACTGTATAATTTTTCATCATATTAATGTTGAAAATGTACCCTCACCTGTTTAATGTTTGTTTTTATGAAATTTACCTTTAGTAATATGTTATTTATTTCAAATGAAGATTTTGGAGAAATATTGCAGATCATGTTATCCTATTTCATATTTGTTGTTTTGACTTTTTAGAAATAGCTGGCTTTGGATTTGAAGATACTCCTTCAGAAAGTTTTCTGTCAACACTGCCATACAAGTTAGGATATTGTGTGCTTCCTCTAGGCATTGAATTGGGTTTAAGAATTGCTGATATAGAGTCAGTATTCGTTAGACATCAAAAGCAATTGTTTTCGCAGGTATATGAGGTCCTGAAAATATGGAAACAGAAAACTCCAGAGAATACTTATTCAAATTTAATGCTTGCAATTCAGCGTGTTAGAGGAAAACAATTTCTAAAACGAAATTTTGGTTGTGATAACTGAGATTTGCGAAGCAGTCGTACGGATATGATGATGTAAGAGGACTGTGTGAAGATATATATGGACTAAGTAGTCAGCTATTTTTTTTTTACAATTTTTAACTATCATTGAATTGGCAAACTTAAACGAAACGAAACAATTAAAGCTAGAATTAGAGTAAAGCTATATTACTCAACTATAATCTACTTTCTTTAATAATTTTCTTTGTTTATTTTTTCCGCTTTCTGATATCTTTTTGTATGGTTTATGATGTATGTAACATGAAATGATTACTTTGTAACTGGTAAATACCATCAACTGATTGGCTCACAAGGCAAAACAGTTATACAAGAGAGATTTCATTGTAGATATGACAAATCAAAAGATGTAATCAGAGTAGACAATGAGCAGAGTTGAAAATGTCAAATATTAATTAATTATCCTGCTGAATTAATTTGTATTAGAAATCCTTTTTAAACTATTTGATCAAAATTTTGTATTGTTTATAAAATGAACAGTTGATTACTAAATTTATCATGTGAAATGTGATGAAATGTTTTTGTTGTAAGCTCAACTGGTCTAAAGGCCAGTGTTATCTTTTCCCATCACTCGGTTTCTGTCGTCCGTTAACTTTTACAAAAATCTTCTCCTTTGAAACTACTGGGTGAATTGGAAATAAAATTGGCCAAACTCATCATTTGGGTATATTTGTTTCAAAGATGCGTTTGATGATCTCACCTGCCAGCTAACTTGGTCGATATCTCTAAAATTTGAACATACGGGACAAATGCATGTTTGCCTATTGTCTACAGTTAAAGAAAATCTGACGTGCCAAACGTTTAGAATATCAAGATGTACCGTACATTCTATCCAATTTGTCGAAACATGAATGTCGACTCCTTAAAGGACTTTATGCCTTTAGAAATTGTTTAGGTAGCAATAAAAATAAATTCAATTCAATTTTATGGAAAAATGAAGTGAAATGCATATGTTTTTTTTTTATTTAGTCTACTGATAGATAAATGTCTATGGTTTCAAAAACTATATAATTCAAATGGATTGAAATTCTACTTTGAACCAAATTTTAGTCTATTTGTGACATTTTCATCCCACCCCTCTTTTTGCAATATTGTGCATCAAATATATGCAGAGTGTTGCAGAATGTATTTCTCCATTTTAACTATTTGAAATCAAATATATAGAAGATGCTGTTTCCATGGGAAAAATGGTGCGCAATATAAATTCAGCAAAAAAGAGATTGAAGTCATGAATTAGTTAACGATAATACAGATAATGAAAGTGCACATGGAAGTAGATGAGCGATATATGCTCTTTAGAGCATTTTAGTCCTTTTTATGTACAAAAAGAACTAACTAAAAGAAAAAATGTGTATAGATACTGTTCTAGCTTTGTTATTAGCATATGACTAATCACAATATGTTAAATAATATTAACTGCAAAAATTTTACAGCACCATTTGTGCATTTATTTAACATTGACGATGTCGAAAAAGTGTGATTTATGAGTTTGTTATTAGGTCAGTTTCAGGGCAACGACTAAACTTCAGATATGCTCGAGGCAAACTATTTGAAAATCCAAACCATGATCAAATTTTCAAAAGCTGAACCTATGAATATATTTTATAAAGTTTCAAAGATATTTTCTCCTGCCAGAAACAAGGAACAGGAGCTTCTCATACTACTGGTCAAATATATTAATGCGCAGGGTAAGTAGATTAATTGATTTGATCACTGCTTGGTCAAACCGAAGCCGTTACAAGGCCTACTTTTTTACTGACTTCTTAACTTTGATTTATTGTGTATTATGTTTGTAGTTTAAAAGTCCCATGACGTCACAATAAATGCATTTTTTGTCGGACCCCTCTTCACCTTTCTTGAAAAACATAGGTTTTTGGTCAATTTTCAGGGAGATGCAAGTACCAACTAATAATTTATCGCAATGTTGGTAAATATGTTAAATGTTTTTGTTAAACTTGAATAGAAGCAATATATCTAACTAACAAATACACGTGTATAAAATATGCAATGTGTTTGTTATGTTTGTAGAAATATAGGTATGCCTTCTTCCTACCGTATAATCTGAATCTTCATAATATTTCAAAGATCCTACAGTTTTAATTTGTACATACTTTTTAATCTAACATCTCTTGATTTTGTAATACTTAAAATTAATGTATGTCATTAACTTACTAATTTTCCTCAGTAGATGTGACATATTTGCCGATGAAACTATGCTGACATCCCGCAAACAATATAGAATCGACAGCAACAAGAGTTCATCTTTTCTTGTCCACCAATTATTGCCATGACTTTGTGAATTAGTTTCCATTGTTGGATCCAAGATGTGTTCCAGGTGTTGTATCCCTCCCACTCTTTTTTCGATTGTGTGAACGTTTCATGGTGTTCCGGGGGGTTGGACCCCCGCCCTTTTCAAAATGACTGGATCCGCACCTGGTTTTGGACGTCCTGTGGCCGTATTCGTCTTATGTGTGTAATCTAAATAAAAATCTTCCCATCTGACTATACTGGGTCAATTGAAACTGCATTAATTTGATACGGTGATTACAATTATTCTTTGGGTATCTAGGATATTTGATCATGGTGTTCCCGAAGATCGAAGATGTACCAACAAAGGTTGCCTTAAATAAATTGTTCGGGGTTTAAGAGACAAAATGGTAATATCGTTTGGCTTCAATTTAAATGTGTAGCTTGAATTTAGTGCAATAATTAGTCACAAATAAACTGAAAATATTGGTCAGGTAACTTGAATTTGTCCTAAATACAGCTGTTGTTGTCAGAGTAATAAGTGCAGTGTCCGTTTTCCGCTTTTGCTGTTGATAATGTAGTGAAATTTAGAGTATAATGAAGAGTTACAAATTGCTTGAGACTTTTGTTCCTGATGAACTACATTTGACTTCAAACATTTCTGTAAATAATGCTTACAAAACTCATGAAAATGTCGACTTTCTCCGTCAAGGTCACTTAAGTTAATGCCTTGAAATTTGAAACATAACATACATCTTGCAATAATAATGATTACATATTTAATTAATACAATTGAAAGCTCAGAAATCGATTGGTCATTTATCTTTCTGATGGATTTTCGTTAATAGAAGTACATATTAATAAAGTTTTTCATTATGTAAAGCAAGTATTATGTCTGGTAAAAGTGAGGCAAAAGATACCAAAGGGACAATCATACTCATAAGTCGAAAATAAACTGACTAAAAAAAACCAAACAAACAACAGTACAAAAAACACAACATAGAAAGTTGCTCATGTATATACAAACCCATGCAGTGATCAGTCTGCTTCGGTAGGTTACATTCGGAGGGAAAGGAGACGGGACTGTAGATACGACAATTGGAACATATCCGTCTCCATCTGTGAAACAGATATCCCATAACGGTCAACCAACTCGTGATGGCGTCTGTAAACAATTAATAGCTTCCCTGTGAGCAGCAATCCTCTTTTAGGGAAATCGTGATAGGAAATACAAGCCCTTGAATATCGTATCAACTGGGAGATGTATACTCCGTATGCAGTCGCTGCTGGGCGGTTTCTACATAGAAATGAAAAGTTCACAATAGGGAAGCTGAAATCATCTCTTTTGTCGTAAAGTTTTGTTTTCAACCGACCATTATTGTCAATTTCTAGATGTTAGTCAGGATATGAGTCAGACTTAACTGTATCTGCATGCTGTATACCTTACTTTAAGTTCTATGGGATACTAGTAGATGCGTTCAACAAAGTCACCAAATTTTGATTTATTTAGTGAGAGAACATCCTCTATTTAGCGGAAAGTGAAGTTAAAGGATACTGCCAACTTCTTTTCTTTCTTCCTCAGAAGTTCTTGTATGAAGTCAGCCTCATATGAATAAAGGAACAAGTCGACAAGAAGAGGAACACAGTTGGTTCTTATGGGAATGTCGATTGATTTTGTAAAAACAACTCCTTCAAACGTAACATATTTATTGTCAATCACGAAATCAAGTATCTTCATACTGTCAGTGTCGGAATTTTTCGTTTGAATCAGAGGGATTTAATTACAAAGTCCAGTTTATCCCTTCCGAGGCCGGACAAGATACTTGTATATTTGTATATACGTTATACTTGTATCTACGTTGGCCATTATTTTTAACGAAACAAAGCAGGACCAACTCTTTCAATATGTCTTTTAGTTTGAAATGGGGAATACGTGTGTGAAGTGAAGAACAGTCAAATGTTTCAATACTATTGCAAGATGAAAGAGTCTTAGATTGCATGCACTCTAAAGGATCTTTGAATTGTTTAATTATCCACATCTGATTCACGCCACCTCCAGAATTTTAAGTTTTACGATAACTTTGGAGACCAGCTTTGATTACTGATCAAATTGATGTTAATAATTTAGATAGAGGTTTCGTAGAGCACTTGGAAGACCCAGCAATAAACTAGTAGCGTTGTTTGAAAGAACAATTATGTAGTTTAGGTATCCAATACAGTGAAGGAAGATCCGGTTCTTCATCTTTGGTTGAAATTCCAAAGGAAGATAAAATAGACCTATATGTATCCTAGATTTCCTCCTTGGTAAGTGTCATGGGGGATATAATTCAAATATATTTTGTCAATTAAACAGATATTAAATATATAGATTACATCACTGCAACAAGTGTGTTACGATATTTATCCACTCGAGACAGTTAAGTTTTATTCTCTTATGGTTGTGGCCTGTTATCTATTTCTTGCATGAATAGATATTTCTCGTAAATTGGATATCGCTTGATATCAACTCTCGTTATTTAATTAAATAGTAATAATAAACTCACCGAAGGCTCGTTTATTATTATATTGAAATTAAATAACTCGAGTTGATATCAAGCGATATCCCATTCTCACACGTTATGAAACCTATAAATATTTAAAGCGCGAGGCTTGCCGAGCTTTTAAAATAATTAAAATTTAACTGTTGAGAGTGGAGAAATATCATAATACACGAGTTATAGTGGTGGAATCTGTTTCTCTAATGATTTTTATCCTTCATTTTCAAAACAAATTGTGTTCTTTATATAAATGTGACGTCATCAGGCATGGTCGCCTTTTTTCATGACGTCACAATAGGAAATCAAGAAAATTTAACGTAAAAATTAAATTTCGACCAATCATTTGCTGAGAACAGATATTTCACTAGTGAGGATAAATTGTTTTCTCACATCGCTCAAGAAATGTGAAAATAGCACAAAATTAGAGAAACTTTCAGTTCCCAAGTGAATTGTCAATACCAAAATCGTTTAACAAGCAGTTTTTGTAATGTGATTACTTTAGTAACACACAAAAACTATGTTGCATTGGGGCTTTATCTGCGCATACAACAACATACATGTATTTGTTATGAAGGAAGGACAGGTGTTTTGCAACATTTAGGATATAAAGATTGAACATGCATTGGAATTCATAGAGCCATTTAGTTTTTAAATTCTGATTTGTATCAACGACCGCACAGCTTTCATCCATTTGGAAATAGTATCTATGTCTTCTTTCACGTGTTTAACCAATTGCCTGTCATAATCCTCGATCGACTGAATCAATCAGTATTTTGAAGTTATGAGTGAACTGATTTATGATGACGATATGAGAAGGGTGCGCATATCCTACTCCACAAGTGACATCCGTCGTGTTGCTAATGTAGGTGTATATTCGGCGATGTCACATTTGAGGAAAAGAGGACGGGATTGTAGTTACGATATTGGTACAAATCCGTCTTCATCTATGAAACAGATATTCCATAAAAGTCACCAACTCGTGATGGCGTCCGTACAATTTCCGAAGGGATGACTTCAATAACTTGGAAACCTTGGTTTTATAGCTGCTCTGAAATCAGCAACCCTCTGTCAAAGACGTCATGATAGGAAATGCAAGCTCCAGAATATCGCATCAACTGGGAACTATATTAAATTATATAAAAATAAGAAGATGTGGTATGATTGTCAATGAGACAACTCTCAACACGAGACCATCTAACAACTATAGGTCACCGAACGGCCTTCAGAAATGAGTTAATATCTTACCGCATAGTCATCAATTAAAGGCCACGAAATAACAAATGTAAAACAATTCAAACGAGAAAACTATAACGGCCTGATTTATTTACAAAATAATGAACGAATATTAAAACAAATATGATGTACAGCAACAAACGACAACAACTGAAGTACAGGCTCCTGACTTGGGACAGGCACATACAGAATGTGGCAGGGTTAAACTAGATTGAAGGTGCGCCAATCCTCCCCTCACCTGGGACAGTGGTGTTACAGTATAACATAAGAACAAACTATAAAAACCCGTTGCAAAGGGCTTAACTCATCAGATCGATACAAAGCAGAAATACATCTAACAAAAACAGAGTGGACGTGGCAGGATACTTATACATCCGCACAACAATTAGACACTAAATGTAAAAAAGAAGATGTGGTATGATTGCCAATGAGACAACTCTTCACAAGAGACCAAATGACACAGAAATTAACAACTATAGATCACCGTACGGCCTTCAACAATGAGAAAAGCCCATACAGCATAGTCAGCTAAACAGATCTTAGATTACTCGCAGTTACTGGCAGCTAGTTCAAAGCAAATAACAACTAATAAAAAAATCATGCATTTAGACTAATATATCAATCAGTTCACATCCAACATCCAATGGACTTTGTGTAAAGACGTCGTTTACAGTCAGAGAAAACATGACCTTGTGCAATGCAAAGATACAGGTATCGACAGATTGTAGAGCAATGAATGTGCATAGGTATGTCAGGTATATAAAATTTCAAAACTTGGATTTCATTTTATTAATCTAAACCCTTTTGATATTAAAATTTATTTAAAACACATTCAAGAGAGAATCAAAGATACAGCCTTTCAAACGCAAGGACTGACATCAATCAAAATAAAAAAATAAACTTCGTTAATATGCTGGTGGAGTTTTTATTCCCCGAGGGTATCACCATCCCAGTAGTCAGCACTTCTGTGTTGACATGAATTATCATTGATATGGTCATAATTATAAATTAACTGTTGAATTTTTGAAATCCTAAGACTTTTCTACCTCAGGAATAGATTACCTTAGCTGTATTTGGCAAAATTTTTAGGAATTCTTGGTCCTCAATTCTGTTCAACTTCGTACTTTATTTCGCCTTTTTAACTTTTTTTTATTCGAGCGTCACTGATGAGTCTTTTGTAGACGAAACGCGCGTCTGGCCCAAATACAAAATTTCAATCCTGTTATCTATGATGAGTTTATATACTATATAAACCAAATATAAGACCCTCATACGTTGATCAATACAAATCCAAATGTGTTAGATCAACATTATGTAAACTAAGGATAAGTGCTCATACTTTATCATGTGAGAGATAACCTCATTAAAAAATTAAATTAAAAATTAAAACAAAGTACCTTCTTTGTCATATAACTTGCCTATACCAATTCTAAATAGTAATTCCTAAACAGTATTAAAAATTGTTGTGAACTATTTGAATGAATGTTTGTTGGTGAGAAACTCATTATTAAAAGGTACTTGATTTCTTTTTTTTTTTAATAATTTATATATTTTTATATATTTTTCTCATACTTATCCACTTATCCAATATTGATACCAATAAAACAATATTCAAAGATCTAATTATAGTGCTGAATCGGTAAGCTTTTAGAATAAGTTTATTCAAAGGATCGATAAGTTTACACGGATTGTATCTAAATTTCCGGTATCGGGTAAACGACATCTCCGTAAAAATAAGAATGTGCTATAAGTTTTCTACAGGTACAACCAAACGTCCAAGCCAAATATTTATCTATGGAGGAATTTTGAGGTTTTAAGTAATTTGAGGTAACGAAATCCCTGACTTCATAATTTACCAGTAATACATAGATTACGTTCTTTGAAATCCGAAACGTCACAACAGACACGGGCATAGCGAACAAGTTGAGATAAATAAACACCGTAAGATGGTGTTAAAGGAGAATCACCGTCCAAAAAAGGAAAATTAACAATAGGAACGAAAATCCTTCCTTTTGTCGTAAATTCTAATGTAGAGTTTCCCGTGTAAAACTGAAATATCTAAATCTAGGAAAGGAAAGTTATTATCTTTTATATCTGATCTATTTAATATAAGTTCCTTTGGGTAAATTTCAGCAGTATATTTAGAAAATTATTGATTATTTAATGAAAAATATTAATTTTGGCCATAAGCAGTGATTCATTACAGTACAAGAACAGGTCTGCTAATAAAGGGGCGTAATTGGTGCCTATAGGAATAACTACAACCTGTCGGTAATACTCCATTTTCTGGCGCTACTGGGATGTTGCTACATAGTAATGGAAATTTCACAAATCGGAAGCTTACATTATCTCTCTTATCGAAATGTTTAGATGTAAATCAAGATATATGTTGTATACTTTGTATCAATAAAGTTGAGAATGGAAATGGGGAATGTGTCAAAGAGACAACAACCCGACCATAGAGCAGACAACAGCCGAATGCCACCAATGGGTCTTCAATGCAGCGAGAAACTCCCGCACCCGGAGGCGTCCTTCAGCTGGCCCCTAAACAAATATTTATACTAGTTCAGTGATAATGGACGTCATACTAAACTCCAAATTATACACAGGAAACTAAAATTAAAAATGATACAAGACTAACAAAGGCCAGAGGCTCCTGACTTGGGACAGGCGCAAAAAATGCGGCGGGGTTAAACATGTTTTTTGAGATCTCAACCCTCCCCTATACCTCTAGCCAATGTAGAAAAAACAAACGCACAACAGTACGCACAGTAAAACTCAGTATAAGAGAAGTCCGAGTCCGATGTCAGAATAGGAAACAAAAGAAAATAAACAAAATGACAATAATACATAAATAACAACAGACTTCTATAGCAGTTACTGACATGCCAGCTCCAGACCTGAGTCACCTCAATTAAACTGATTGAAAGATTATGTCTTCATCATATGAATATCAGGCACAATCCCTACTGTTAGGGGTTTAGTATTATACCGTAATAAAATATATGAGAAGAATAATCAAGTTCTATTTGATAGAATGCGTTTAACAGTCATCAAACATTTGGATTATTTAGTGACAGGGCATCATCTATATAGCGGAACGTGAAGTTAAATGATAATGGTTTATTTCGTGCTTAAAAGTTCTTATATGAGATCTGCCTCGTGTGAATCAAGGAACAAGTCGGCGCAAAGATGAGCACAGTTAGTTCCCATAGAGAATATTGTTTGTTGAAAAACACGTCCTCTAAACGTAAAAATATGTTGTCTATCAAGAAATCCTTTATCTTGATAGAGTCAATTTAAGAGATTTGTTTTGTTTTAATCAGTGTTTTTTTATAAAGTTGAATGTATCCCTTTCTAAAACAAGATATCTGTGTCTACTTTGGCTTTTTTCAGTGAGACAAATTAGGACAAAACGTAACAAACATGTTGTCAGTCAAGAAATCAAGAATCTTGGTGGTGTCAATTCAAGAGATTCTTTGTTTTGTTTTAATCCGTGATTTTTTTACAAAGTATGGTTTATCACTCTCTCACTGCCCCTAAAATACAGATTAATTCTGAAGCCCGGCTTTTATTGCTGATAAAATTGATGTTAATAGTTTAGAATGAGGTTTAGTGGAGCACTTGGAAGACTCAGCAATATAACATTGTGTGTATTGACATTTATGTACTTTATACATGTATCCTCGTTGGTTGATTTCTAAGGAACAGAGAACAGGCTTATGATTGATCATGATTTCTTTTTTTGGCAAGTGTTGTGGGCGTACATGTTCAGTTTCCAATTGAATTTCAATACCTTATTCTTTCATCTAGCAGTTTATGTTATGTGATTTACACTCCAAAAGGATGTTGTATGTGGCTTTATCTGCGGGGACTTAACCATATTTGTCATTAAAGATAGATGAAGCTTGTGTATTAAACACCTAATTTTAACTAACTTTCATATCCGTGGTATACTTTTTCAAAAATCTTCTACCCTAAAACGTATGAGCCGATTTCAACAAAGCTTATGGTGAATAGTCCTTGGCGTATGTAGTATAAAAGTGTGTATTTTTTCCCGGGCAGGCAACAAACAAGACAGTATTTATTGAAATAAAATATGATATTGCTGATTGAAGTCGGAAAAACTGTTTGTTTCGAGGAATAATAGTCCCCAAAGAGCCTGATTCGTTCACCTGCATGGTAATATATGTCTTTTTGATATTTATAGTTTTCGTTTGTTGCAATCAGTTACGTTTGCTGTTTGCTGTTTACAGTTTATATCTAGCTATTCAAGTTAAGTTTTGGAGCTAAAAATGTAATTTAATGGCATTAATAAATCCTATAAAATAGTGCGATAATTTAGCAATGTTGACTAACTTGTAGATCCAATTCTGCCTAGCTTTTTTTATTTTAGTTTTTTCGCCTTTTTAAAGTTTCTCTCTTACTCCTATTTTTTTTTTTTACAAAAATGCCAAAAATAGACTTAAATCATCAATCAGGGGAAATAACTTCTATAAGCAGTTGGATGGCAATTTTGGCCATGATGACTTAGTTGCAGATCTTAATTTGCTGTATAGTTTTGCTCTTTAAAATTACTGTCTATATTTAATACAGTGTTTGCAAATACTGAGAAAATTAGTCTTTCAAGGGCAATACCTCTTATAAGAGGTCAATTGACGATTCGTCCATATTGACTTATTTGTAGCTCATATTTTGTTGAACCTTTTTACTATTGAAAGATTCTCTCTATGAACTGTACAGTAGTTTCCTTTAAAAAAACAAAAGGGTAAAATCCTCATCTAAAGGCAATAGCTCCTATAAGTTGATATATTTGTAGATCTTATACAGTCTTGTGGTTCAAAAGTGTTTCACCTTTCGAAGATTCCCCTATTATTTAATATAGAAACGAATTTTTGATAAAAATTCTTCCAAAAGACAATTCTTGTCCAAATGGAATGATTGTTTTCCCATCAAATACAGAAATGTCTGCAGTTTCTTGCAATAGTTATGAAATATATGTATGATTTATATTTTTAGGAAGATCTCTGTTATATATAAAGACAGATGCGAATTTCTGCACAAAAAAAACTTATAGCCTGTTTGAATTGTTTTACACTAGTCAGTTTGGGGTCCTTTATAGCTTGCTGTTCGGTGTGAGCCCAGTGTTGGAGGCCGTACTTTGATCTATAATTGTTAACTTTTTATACATTTTGACTTGGATGGAGAGTAGTCGCATATTGGTACTCATACCACATCTCCTTATTTATATATAGGAAAAATGACAAATAATTTCAATATAATTTCTATACAAGTAATGATTTCTCAGTAATGACATGTTATAAAAATATTTCATTATACCCAGAAAAAAACTGCAGACATTTACGAGTTTCTCATTAAAAATTTCATCAAAATCCTGGGACTATTATACTTAGTATAATAGTCCCAGTCAAAATCGGACCTCAAATTAATTTTCGACAAAGTTTAAAAAAAAAAAATATACGAAATTTCGGAACAGCGAAACACTTTTTACCACAGGAGATAGAAACCTGAGACATAGTATGCCCTATGAATAACTTACTTACGGTGACACCTAAGTAATTTATAGGAACGTTTTGGTTCTCTTTATCTTTGACTTTCTATTTGTTACTTAGTTACATTTTGATCCGTTGTTGAGATTTACGTTAACCGGAAATCAGGCAAAACATCAACAACTTTTACTTTAGCAGCGAATTGCCCAACTCATTCAATTTGTCAATGCCAGGAGACGTTATTCATTTAAATGTCGGCGGAACCAGGTAGATATAGTAAAAGATACTGCTGTGACCAGTGTAACCATTCTCATGTAGCAGCTACAAATTCTGATATGTTGATTTTAGGACATATTTCTGGACATATAATTCCATATATGTCTAGAAATCTGTCCTAAAATCAACGTCAGAATTTGTAACTGCTACAGGAGAATACACCTTATCGCTATTTGTCCGCCATTACTTGACATCACACAGGTTCCCGTAAAATTTTGACGTCATAATACAAAATATCTGACGCCACAATGGAAAAGTGAATGTTGTATGACGTCAATAGTTCAAGGTGGACAGATTCTCGGGTCAGCCGGGAATAGCGATAAGGTGTATGGTTACACTGGTGACAACAGTAACATTCACCATTTTAAGTTTTTTATATATATGTAAGGTACAGAGTTTGGTTACATTCTCTTTTTACAAGCGTTTTTTTTTTTCTCACTTTGAATTAAAATCTAGAAGTTTCTGAGTTATATTTTATTTTACGTTTGTTCCTCCTATCGAATCTTGTTATGTCAGAGATTATCATTAAATCAGCTACAAAATGGAGTATAACACACCTCTAACTGTAGCAAGCCTTCCAAGTAGGTCAACCATAGATTATTTAGCTTTTCAGAGCCAAGCAGCAATGTTAATCTTATTAGTCTCAAGCAGACAAGTTTTGTACTAAATTTTTGGCATTTCATGACGTCAATGAATTTCATCTAAGTGTTGTCAAATATACATTGTAAATAACTGTCAGGCACCAAACTTCGTCTTCATTTAATTAATACATGTAGCTGCCAAATTTTTAAACTAAGAATAAATCAAAGCTACATGTATGTAATGACCTTAATAAACATGATGAATAACCAACAATAAGAACATGTAGATGTCTATATTCATTACTTTTGACATTCTTCTGAAGTTCACATAGCTTAGAGACAAACTATAAAAAAAAAAAGCGTTTGGTGAACAATGACAAATGAATGGTGTATAGATTTATAACATAAAAACCATTAAGCATGCATCAAAAACCCTTAAGGCCAGTACAGTGTGCCTCAGTGAGGGCTTAAACATGTACATGTAGCAAAAACTCTCACAGTATCATTCAGGTTGACTGCTTAACAATGTCAACAAAATAAACATGATAAACAAACTGTTCAAAAGCCGAAAAATGGTGTGGCTGAGCCTGGCTCACAAAGGAAAACAATTTTTAATGCTTTAATATTTCCGTTAAAATAGATGTGCATGAAGGAAATCATCCAAACTAGCTGCATGAGTAGTGATCTTTGTAGAAAATTAAACAGCAAGTTCTTGTTTTATTGAAATAACTTTAATACTGTTTAATAGTTGCCTAAATTCAAGAGAAATCAAAAACCGGTATGTATAATTTTAGTATTGTATTTTTTCATCTTCTGTTCAGTTGTATCATGAAATGGTAAAATTAATTACTGAACATTTTTTAAGTGTACATGATCAGGGTACTGTGTTATCAATTTTTTTAATTTGTTCATCAGCATACATTAAGGTATGGTTATCTTTCAGATTCTCTACATCTCGCCAGACTTTAACATGGATACAAGACTCATTTTTTACCAGGTAAGTAAGTTTAGAAAAAAACTGTTTTATGCTGCAAGAAGAGAATATATAGAATTAGTAAGACATATCAGATATACAAATATATAGAATTAGTAAGACATATCAGATATACAAATATATAGAATTAGTAAGACATATCAGATATACAAATATATAGAATTAGTAAGACATATCAGATATACAAATATATAGAATTAGTAAGACATATCAGATATACAAATATATAGAATTAGTAAGACATATCAGATATATAAATATTTGAAAGTTTTTGTGTTTGTTCTGAAAAAAAAATCCACCAAATATTTGAAAATAAGAACAGCATAGATAATAAATTTTCATTAAGTTGTCATTACAAAGAATTGTTACATGGAAAACAAGTTACAAACAAACAAATCAAATGAATTGACATAATGAATTATGAATTGGTAGTACACGTGCTCCTGACATAGATTTCTGGAATAATCATCAAGATCATAAAGAATTTTCAAATTATGGAAGTTAGAAAACCAAACACATCAAATCTGGTATCAAAACAAAAAGGACATGATCAGAACAGTGAAAACACACATGATCAGAACAGTTAAAATGCACATGATCAGAACAGTCAAAACACACATGATCAGAACAGTTAAAACACATATGATCAGAACAATCAAAATACACATGATCAGAACAGTTAAAACACACATGATCAGAACAATCAAAATACACATGATCAAAACAGTTAAAATGCACATTATCAAAACAGTTAAAACACACATGATCAGAACAGTCAAAATACACATGATCAGAACAGTTAAAACACACATGATCAGAACAATCAAAATACACATGATCAAAACAGTTAAAATTCACATCATCAAAACAGTTAAAATTTATATGATCAGAACAGTCAAAATACACATGCTCAGAACAGTCAAAACACACATGATCAGAACAGTTAATATATATATATGATCAGAACAGTTAATATATATATATGATCAGAACTGTCAAAACACGCATGATGAGAACAGTCAAAATACAAATGATCAGTACAGTTAAAATTTTTATGATCAGAACAATCAAAATACAAATGATCATAACAGTCAAAATACACATGATCAAAACAGTCAAAATGCACATGATTAGAACAGTCAAGATACATTACAGCTCACATTGGTTTTGCCATTTTAACCTGGTTTCTCTGAATTATATATATAAGAATTTGCCTCTGCAAATTTGCAGATTTAACATTGTTGTGCTGATATTTAGAGTAATTATGAATATAATATGTGTTTTCAGCCAAATATTACCTTCACTGGTGATCCAATGGATATTGGATCTGTCTTAGAATTGTCACTTGTTAAGACCTACTTATCAAATAATTATTTCTGTGACTGCATCTTATGATTCTTTATGATAGATAATTAAGCTAATCTGCAATCAATTCCATCTTCATGCCTAATATATCCTGTATTGTGTTACAACTCTAGATTCTACTGACGAGGAAAGGTAACACTAGCCCACCGAAAGCTGAATGTTTTGTTCAGTCTAGGTGGCAGAGTGGTCTAGAGCGCTGGACACAGTGCAGGCGGTGTTGTCTCTATATCCCAATAGCATGAGTTCGAATCCCGGCGAGGAAAGAACAAAAATTTGCAAAAAATATTTGGCACAGAAATTTACAGAAAAACTAAAGAATCCTTTTGGATCAAAAAATTAAAAACTTTACAGCCTGATGGACTCAACACTATGTACCAACAAAAGTGAAAATATTTATAGAAAGAGAAAAAAACGCGGCAAATGAACGTCATAGCAGTAATTATAACGTAATGTATCCAAGCGATGTAATCGTTTGTTTTTATGTTGTAATATATTCCAATGAAGAAGGCTGTAATGGCCGAAACGTATGGAAAATTGTGTTCTTTATCAATTATGGACTTTTGACGAGGTTGATACGTTATATATGGACCTGTTCAGATTATATTGACCGAGGACGAAGTATTGAAAATATTAATAAATAAGATTAACTTGTTTTATTGTAAACAAAACACAACATTTTTTTTAACAAATAAGAATTCAAATGTAACTCATTTCAGTCTACTTGCAAATTTTCTTTTCATACTCTGCTGCGCTTCCGCCATGATTGTTATGTTTGACGTCACAGATTTTTAATATTGACCGTCAATATACGTATAAATAGAAACATAGTGCCAATATACTTAAAAATAGAAACAAGGCTTCAGATACATGAAATATTATTGAAACACGTGATCGTAATATCCAATGAAAACAGGAGAATGCTACACCATATGTAATATAGTTTTATTTATATATCATAAACACTCAAAAATTAAAAATAAAATACAAGGGTTTGGAACATAATTCACCGATAAGGAGTGGGTATAATTATGTTTTTTCCAAAAAAAAAAAACAAAATGGCAATTATTTTAAAACACATATTGATACAGTCATGACAGTTTGTGAGTTTTATTTGTAGTCATATAGAGCACTGTTTTCCATGTATATAATTATCTTCAGTGATGTAAGAATGAAGTGAAAATATCATTGTTTTGATCAGTTAACACTGGTAGTATTATACTAGTATACAAAAGTTTTATTTCGTTTCAGTCTGTTAAGTGGAAGGATTTTATCACTGAAAGATGAGACTGGCGCTGTAAGTTTTTACAGATTATATCACTAATGTCTTTCACCAAATATTGGGCTTCATCATTTTCTGCTTATATCATTTTATAGATAACCTGCAAGCCCTTCAAATGGCAAAGCCAAAATTCAACCAAACTTGAACTGGAGGTGAAGCTGTACACCTGCTATTTTGATTTGAATGATTTTTGGGGTTTTCCCTACCATACCATGGACTTTGCAATGTCAGCTTACAGTATGTTATTTTGTAACAGCAGGAAAGATACATCTTTCATGGAAGACCCCTTAATTTTGTAACAAAAAAAGTTTATTTATTTGTAAAATATAAATAAAAAAAGATGCATTGATTATGCAATAAGTATAATATGATTTTTTTTATTTTATCAATTTATAACATTGACAAATGTCTTGTTTCTTGTAGATATTTATTGACAGAGATCCAAAATTGTTTTCTGTCATTTTAAACTTTCTTCGAAGTAAAGATGTTGATTTAAGGTAAGTACATGTAACCACCTTCTTTGTTGTGTAAAAACCATACAGAAAGTTTCAGTAGACATAATACATTGACATAGTTAACTATGCAATTTCATAGTATTTTTTATATTTTAGAAATCAATGAAGACTAAAAAAAAAATTAGCATAGGAATATAAGTGACTTAGCACATTTTGCATGAACTAGAAAGGCGAATTGCTTGAACATTTGGCCCAACATCATTATTTTTTATGCCCCCGCCGTAGCGGAGGGGGCATTAAGTTTTATCCTTGTCCGTCCGTACGTATGTACGTCCCAAATTGGTTTCCGTTCTCTAACTTTATAACATGTATATATGTTTTAGATACACAAATAACCTGTAAATGTTTTAGATACACAGATAACCTGTAAATGTTTAAGATACACAGATAACCTGTAAATGTTTTAGATACACAGATAACCTGTAAATGTTTTAGATACACAGATAACCTGTAAATGTTTTAGATACACAGATTTAGATACACAAATAACCTGTAAATGTTTTAGATACACAAATAACCTGTAAATGTTTTAGATACACAAGTAACCTGTAAATGTTTTAGATACACAGATAACCTGTAAATGTTTTAGATACACAGATAACCTGTAAATGTTTTAGATACACAGATAACCTGTAAATGTTTTAGATACACAAATAACCTGTAAATGTTTTAGATACACAAGTAACCTGTAAATGTTTTAGATACACAAATAACCTGTAAATGTTTTAGATACACAAGTAACCTGTAAATGTTTTAGATACACAGATAACCTGTAAATGTTTTAGATACACAAGTAACCTGTAAATGTTTTAGATACACAAACAACCTGTAAATGTTTTAGATACACAAGTAACCTGTAAATGTTTTAGATACACAGATAACCTGTAAATGTTTTAGATACACAAGTAACCTGTAAATGTTTTAGATACACAAGTAACCTGTAAATGTTTTAGATACACAAATAACCTGTAAATGTTTTAGATACACAGATAACCTGTAAATGTTTTAGATACACAGATAACCTGTAAATGTTTTAGATACACAAATAACCTGTAAATGTTTTAGATACACAAGTAACCTGTAAATGTTTTAGATACACAAATAACCTGTAAATGTTTTAGATACACAAGTAACCTGTAAATGTTTTAGATACACAGATAACCTGTAAATGTTTTAGATACACAGATTTAGATACACAAATAACCTGTAAATGTTTTAGATACACAGATAACATAACCTGTAAATGTTTTAGATACACAGATAACCTGTAAATGTTTTAGATACACAAATAACCTGTAAATGTTTTAGATACACAGATAACCTGTAAATGTTTTAGATACACAGATAACCTGTAAATGTTTTAGATACACAGATAACCTGTAAATGTTTTAGATACACAGGTAACCTGTAAATGTTTTAGATACACAGGTAACCTGTAAATGTTTTAGATACACAAGTAACCTGTAAATATTAGATACACAAGTAACCTGTAAATGTTTTAGATACACAAGTAACCTGTAAATGTTTTAGATACACAGATAACCTGTAAATGTTTTAGATACACAGATAACCTGTAAATGTTTTAGATACACAAGTAACCTGTAAATGTTTTAGATACACAAGTAACCTGTAAATGTTTTAGATACACAGATAACCTGTAAATGTTTTAGATACACAAGTAACCTGTAAATGTTTTAGATACACAGATAACCTGTAAATGTTTTAGATACACAAGTAACCTGTAAATGTTTTAGATACACAGATAACCTGTAAATGTTTTAGATACACAAGTAACCTGTAAATGTTTTAGATACACAAATAACCTGTAAATGTTTTAGATACACAGATAACCTGTAAATGTTTTAGATACACAGATAACCTGTAAATGTTTTAGATACACAAATAACCTGTAAATGTTTTAGATACACAGATAACCTGTAAATGTTTTAGATACACAGATAACCTGTAAATGTTTTAGATACACAAATTTAGATACACAAATAACCTGTAAATGTTTTAGATACACAAGTAACCTGTAAATGTTTTAGATACACAGATAACCTGTAAATGTTTTAGATACACAGATAACCTGTAAATATTTTAGATACACAGATAACCTGTAAATGTTTTAGATACACAGATAACCTGTAAATGTTTTAGATACACAAATTTAGATACACAAATAACCTGTAAATGTTTTAGATACACAAATAACCTGTAAATGTTTTAGATACACAAATAACCTGTAAATGTTTTAGATACACAGATAACCTGTAAATGTTTTAGATACACAGGTAACCTGTAAATGTTTTAGATACACAAGTAACCTGTAAATGTTTTAGATACACAGATAACCTGTAAATGTTTTAGATACACAGATAACATAACCTGTAAATGTTTTAGATACACAGATAACCTGTAAATGTTTTAGATACACAGATAACCTGTAAATGTTTTAGATACACAGATAACCTGTAAATGTTTTAGATACACAGATAACCTGTAAATGTTTTAGATACACAAATAACCTGTAAATGTTTTAGATACACAGATAACCTGTAAATGTTTTAGATACACAGATAACCTGTAAATGTTTTAGATACACAAGTAACCTGTAAATGTTTTAGATACACAGATAACCTGTAAATGTTTTAGATACACAAGTAACCTGTAAATGTTTTAGATACACAAATAACCTGTAAATGTTTTAGATACACAGATAACCTGTAAATGTTTTAGATACACAAATTTAGACACACAAATAACCTGTAAATGTTTTAGATACACAAATAACCTGTAAATGTTTTAGATACACAAATAACCTGTAAATGTTTTAGATACACAAATTTAGATACACAAATAACCTGTAAATGTTTTAGATACACAAATTTAGATACACAAATAACATGTAAATGTTTTAGATACACAAATAACCTGTAAATGTTTTAGATACACAAATAACCTGTAAATGTTTTAGATACACAGATAACCTGTCAATGTTTTAGATACACAGATAACATAACCTGTAAATGTTTTAGATACACAAATAACCTGTAAATGTTTTAGATACACAGATAACCTGTAAATGTTTTAGATACACAAATTTAGATACACAAATAACCTGTAAATGTTTTAGATACACAAGTAACCTGTAAATGTTTTAGATACACAAATAACCTGTAAATGTTTTAGATACACAAATAACCTGTAAATGTTTTAGATACACAAATAACCTGTAAATGTTTTAGATACACAAATAACCTGTAAATGTTTTAGATACACAAATAACCTGTAAATGTTTTAGATACACAAGTAACCTGTAAATGTTTTAGATACACAGATAACCTGTAAATGTTTTAGATACACAAATTTAGATACACAAATAACCTGTAAATGTTTTAGATACACAAATAACCTGTAAATGTTTTAGATACACAAATAACCTGTAAATGTTTTAGATACACAGATAACCTGTAAATGTTTTAGATACACAGATAACCTGTAAATGTTTTAGATACACAGATAACCTGTAAATGTTTTAGATACACAAGTAACCTGTAAATGTTTTAGATACACAAGTAACCTGTAAATGTTTTAGATACACAGATAACCTGTAAATGTTTTAGATACACAAATAACCTGTAAATGTTTTAGATACACAAGTAACCTGTAAATGTTTTAGATACACAAATAACCTGTAAATGTTTTAGATACACAAGTAACCTGTAAATGTTTTAGATACACAGATAACCTGTAAATGTTTTAGATACACAAGTAACCTGTAAATGTTTTAGATACACAAACAACCTGTAAATGTTTTAGATACACAAGTAACCTGTAAATGTTTTAGATACACAGATAACCTGTAAATGTTTTAGATACACAAGTAACCTGTAAATGTTTTAGATACACAAATAACCTGTAAATGTTTTAGATACACAGATAACCTGTAAATGTTTTAGATACACAGATAACCTGTAAATGTTTTAGATACACAAATAACCTGTAAATGTTTTAGATACACAAGTAACCTGTAAATGTTTTAGATACACAAATAACCTGTAAATGTTTTAGATACACAAGTAACCTGTAAATGTTTTAGATACACAGATAACCTGTAAATGTTTTAGATACACAGATTTAGATACACAAATAACCTGTAAATGTATTAGATACACAGATAACATAACCTGTAAATGTTTTAGATACACAGATAACCTGTAAATGTTTTAGATACACAAATAACCTGTAAATGTTTTAGATACACAGATAACCTGTAAATGTTTTAGATACACAGATAACCTGTAAATGTTTTAGATACACAAGTAACCTGTAAATGTTTTAGATACACAGATAACCTGTAAATGTTTTAGATACACAGATAACCTGTAAATGTTTTAGATACACAAATAACCTGTAAATGTTTTAGATACACAAGTTACCTGTAAATGTTTTAGATACACAAATAACCTGTAAATGTTTTAGATACACAAATAACCTGTAAATGTTTTAGATACACAAATAACCTGTAAATGTTTTAGATACACAAGTAACCTGTAAATGTTTTAGATACACAGATAACCTGTAAATGTTTTAGATACACAAATTTAGATACACAAATAACCTGTAAATGTTTTAGATACACAAATAACCTGTAAATGTTTTAGATACACAGATAACCTGTAAATGTTTTAGATACACAGATAACCTGTAAATGTTTTAGATACACAAATAACCTGTAAATGTTTTAGATACACAAATAACCTGTAAATGTTTTAGATACACAAATTTAGATACACAAATAACCTGTAAATGTTTTAGATACACAAATAACCTGTAAATGTTTTAGATACACAGATAACCTGTAAATGTTTTAGATACACAGATAACCTGTAAATGTTTTAGATACACAAATAACCTGTAAATGTTTTAGATACACAAATAACCTGTAAATGTTTTAGATACACAAATTTAGATACACAAATAACCTGTAAATGTTTTAGATACACAAATAACCTGTAAATGTTTTAGATACACAAATAACCTGTAAATGTTTTAGATACACAAGTAACCTGTAAATGTTTTAGATACACAGATAACCTGTAAATGTTTTAGATACACAAATTTAGATACACAAATAACCTGTAAATGTTTTAGATACACAAATAACCTGTAAATGTTTTAGATACACAGATAACCTGTAAATGTTTTAGATACACAGATAACCTGTAAATGTTTTAGATACACAAATAACCTGTAAATGTTTTAGATACACAAATAACCTGTAAATGTTTTAGATACACAAATTTAGATACACAAATAACCTGTAAATGTTTTAGATACACAAATAACCTGTAAATGTTTTAGATACACAGATAACCTGTAAATGTTTTAGATACACAGATAACCTGTAAATGTTTTAGATACACAGATAACCTGTAAATGTTTTAGATACACAAATAACCTGTAAATGTTTTAGATACACAAATAACCTGTAAATGTTTTAGATACACAGATAACCTGTAAATGTTTTAGATACACAAATAACCTGTAAATGTTTTAGATACACAAATAACCTGTAAATGTTTTAGATACACAAATAACCTGTAAATGTTTTAAATACACAAATTTAGATACACAAATAACCTGTAAATGTTTTAGATACACAAATAACCTGTAAATGTTTTAGATACACAAATAACCTGTAAATGTTTTAGATACACAGATAACCTGTAAATGTTTTAGATACACAGATAACCTGTAAATGTTTTAGATACACAGATAACCTGTAAATGTTTTAGATACACAGGTAACCTGTAAATGTTTTAGATACACAAGTAACCTGTAAATGTTTTAGATACACAGATAACATAACCTGTAAATGTTTTAGATACACAGATAACATAACCTGTAAATGTTTTAGATACACAAATAACCTGTAAATGTTTTAGATACACAAATAACCTGTAAATGTTTTAGATACACAGATAACCTGTAAATGTTTTAGATACACAAATAACCTGTAAATGTTTTAGATACACAAATAACCTGTAAATGTTTTAGATACACAGATAACCTGTAAATGTTTTAGATACACAGATAACCTGTAAATGTTTTAGATACACAGATAACCTGTAAATGTTTTAGATACACAAGTAACCTGTAAATGTTTTAGATACACAAGTAACCTGTAAATGTTTTAGATACACAAATAACCTGTAAATGTTTTAGATACACAGATAACCTGTAAATGTTTTAGATACACAGGTAACCTGTAAATGTTTTAGATACACAGATAACCTGTAAATGTTTTAGATACACAAACAACCTGTAAATGTTTTAGATACACAGATAACCTGTAAATGTTTTAGATACACAGATAACCTGTAAATGTTTTAGATACACAGATAACCTGTAAATGTTTTAGATACACAGGTAACCTGTAAAAGTTTTAGATACACAGATAACCTGTAAATGTTTTAGATACACAAACAACCTGTAAATGTTTTAGATACACAGATAACCTGTAAATGTTTTAGATACACAGATAACATAACCTGTAAATGTTTTAGATACACAGATAACCTGTCAATGTTTTAGATACACAAACAACCTGTAAATGTTTTAGATACACAGATAACCTGTAAATGTTTTAGATACACAGATAACCTGTAAATGTTTTAGATACACAAATAACCTGTAAATGTTTTAGATACACAGATAACCTGTAAATGTTTTAGATACACAAGTAACCTGTAAATGTTTTAGATACACAAGTAACCTGTAAATGTTTTAGATACGCTTGCATATAATGTTATATGAATGAATCTTTATTGCAAAAGCATAAACATGCTATGGCAAAATTAACAACATATATTACATAATATAAAACATGAATAGACAGCAGAGAACAATAGTATAATACAATGACATATAAAGTTATGAGACTATATTAGATCGAATATTCCATGCAGCTTTTACATAATTACATAATTTGATCGTAAGAGACTTACTAGAAGCTTGTAGTATATTTAATAGTTTGCGATTATTAGGCCAAGAACAATAATACTTTGGTAAAAATTGTGTTCGTACAGATCGATAAGCTGGACAAACAAGAACAAAATGGTATTCATCTTCAATAACACACATTTTACAACATTCACATAAACGATTTTCTCTAGAAATATTATTATAACGACCAACTTCAATATTTAACTTTAATGTTCCACTACGTAACTTTGTTAGCAGACTAACATTATTGCTATAAAAAAGATATTTTTCAATATAAAAAGTTAATTTAAATCTACAATAAAAAGACAGTTTACTACATTCCTGAATAGTTGTTGTTGTTATAAAGAGACATAACTCAAGAACTGTAAAAGTGACGCTACCCAAATTTGTACTTGATTAGAGTTTTGTGGTAATTAGCATTGTGTATATGTTTCATAAAATTTAGTTGAGGCAAACTTAAGTTAGAGAACGGAAACAAAAAATCCAGCAATGTTTTAGATACACAAATAACCTATACATGTTTTAGATACACAAATAACCTATATATGTTTTAGATACACAGATAACCTATAAATGTTTTAGATATACAAATAACCTATAAATGTTTTAGATATACAAATAACCTATAAATGTTTTAGATACACAAATAACCTATAAATGTTTTAGATACACAAATAACCTATACATGTTTTAGATACACAAATAACCTATAAATGTTTTAGATATATTCAAACAACCAAATCTGCATCCAGTTCTTATATTTACTGTGGAGTTTGATTAGAATAACATCAAAATAGAAAAGTTAAGATAAATAATTGTTAATTATTTAAATGTAAACCTCCTGTAAATACATATGCATACTGTATTATTTATTATTTTTCCAGTGGAATAAGTTTATCTGCACTAAAGCATGAAGCAGAGTATTTTGGAATAACACCTTTAGGTAAGTTTGAATTTTTAACATTTGGTCACATGATGGAGATTTGAAATCTTACACCTGAATCATGTGACATAGTATTTTGAAACCTATACTTGATTCATTTGACTTTTTGTGATGTTTTTATACGACCGCAAAAAAATTTTTGTGGTCGTATATTGGTATGACGTTGGCGTCGTCGTCGTCGTCGTCGTCGTCGTCCGGCGTCGTCGTCCGAATACACATTAGTTTTCGCACTCTAACTTTAGTTTAAGTGAATGGATCTCAATGAAATTTTACCATAAGGTTCAATACCACAAAAGGAAGGTGGGGATTGATTTTGGGGGTTATGGTACTAACAGTTTAGGAATTAGGGGCCAAAAAGGGGCCAAAAATAAGCATTTTTGTAACTTCCAGACATAACTTGTGTGTAAGTATATGGATCTCTCTGACATTGTACCACAAGGTTCCATATCACAAAGGGAATGCTGGGATTGATTTTGGGGGTAATTGCCTCCAAATTTTAGGAATTAGGGGCCAAAAAGGGGCAAAAAACAAGCATTTTTCTAGTTTCATGACAATAACTTGTGTGTTAGTGTATGGATCTCTCTGACATTGTATCACAAGATTCCATATCACAAAGGGAATACTGGGATTGATTTTTGGGGGTAATTTCCTCCAAATTTGGGGAATTAGGGGCCAAAAAGGGGCAAAAAACAAGCATTTTTCTAGTTTCAGGACAATAACTTGTGTGTTAGTGTATGGATCTTTATGAAATTGTACTGCAAGGTTCCATATCACAAAGGGAAAGCTGGGTTGGAGTTTGGGGGTAATTGCCCTAAACGTTTAGGAATTAGGGGCCAAAAAGGGACAAAAAAACAAGCATTTTTCTAGTTTCCAGACAATAACTTGTGTTCAAGTGAATGGATCTCTCTAAAATTGTACTGCAAGGTACCATACCACAAAGGGAAAGCTGGGATTGAGTGTGGGGGCGATGAATCATAAGGGGGTTCAAAAAATTTGGGGGGGGGGATTTTTTTTTCCTTTTTTTTCTTTAAAATTTTCCATTTTAAATTGGTTATTTCTGATTTATATATAAAAGCAAATAATAATGATATGGTTTGAATAGCATACATGTGAACCTCCCGACAGGAGTACAATAATCCTGTTTTCAGGAGTCTCCTCCCGACCTCCGGTTGAAGAGGAAAATTATAATCCCGTGTATGAAATTTTTCATGAATGAAAAATTTCTGCCCAACATATCATCTCAGGCATCTGGTGTACCTCACATTACCTGAAGTTATATTTTACCTGTAAATCAATTAACATGCATAATTATATGGCTTCACTTGTCAGCTTGGGTGTCAAACATACTGGTAATCAACGATTTTTTACCTCAGGCTAACTGCCGTTGTGTAACAAAAACTGTGTATTTATTGGGTTACTTCCCTTGATTTATCCTGTTTTAAGTTACTTTCCTTTTAATAATGAAAATTTTTAAAAGAATATAAATAAAATATAAATTGAACAAATAATCATAAAAGGATGGTAAATAAATGATTTTAAATGTCTTAGGACAAATAAAAAAATAATAATTTGAAAATTATTTGAGGATTTTATACTTCCTTTCAAGGCTTAAATTGAAATTTATATTATAACTATGACCCATGTTTGTATGATTTTCTGAGTATGCAAACATAAGCTATTTGCAGATAGTTAAACAAATGTTCTGGTTGCAATAAATGTTTTATAGAATTTGAAGTAAAAAATTTAAAGAACATACTGAAAAAAAAAAAATGTTAGATTGAACATGTAAAATATAAAGATGGAGAAACTTTATAAGTACAAGGGTACTATAAACATAATAAATTGGATGGAAAGTTGAAGAAAACACAATTTAAAAGACCATTTTTACAGCACACGGTTACATTTACGACAAAATTTATGTCGATTAAAAACCTCCTGATCTGAGTCCTAATCTCCTGACCAAAATTTCCCAATCTCCTGATCTGAGTTTCACAGTCCATCACATATATGAATAGGTAAATTAAAAAATTATAAGTTCTTAGACCACTTTCATTCTGTGTCAGAAACCTATGCTGTGTCAAATATTTAATTACAATCCAAATTCAGTGCTGTATCAAGCTTGAATGTTGTGTCCATACTTGCCCCAACTGTTCAGGGTTTGACCTCTGCGGTCGTATCAAGCTGCGCCCCAGCGGAGCATTTTATTATCATTGCAATAATTGTGATGGGATAGATTTTCAAAATAAAAAGTCCCATTTTAAATTTTGATAGTATTATTTGTATGCAGCATTCCCTGAAATCACAGTAAATAATCTTGATTATTACAATAATAAATGCACATGAAAATTTATGAGTTTACAGTATTTTGAAATCCTACACTTGAGTCATGTGTTTTAAAATTTTTCCACCATAATCATGTGACAGCACATTTTGAATCCTACACTCGAGTCATGTGATAGAGAATTTTGAAATCTTATTCATAAAAAATGTGAAAAGACATAATTTTGAAGGTAAGTTAAAATATTCTATACCTAAATCATATTACAATGTATTGAAAACATTTTTACTTGAGTTTAATAAGTTTTACACAATACATTTATTCTGTTTAACATATCATATTTATACTAACACCAGTTAATTACATCAAATAAGTAATGAAAGTATCTTTAATACAAGACTAAAGACATATTTTGAAAGTAGCTGACATAACTTCCTGTCAGCTATTAAGTCTTTCATGCATACATAGGAGAATTAGTCTACATTTTATCTCTTCTTCAAAATAACTTCTTCATAATACACTATCATGTTGGAAAGCTTTGAAACTCATTAATTTCTCAGGTTCAACTCTAGCATATCCTCAAAAAATGTCAAAAGGTATAGAAATATTGATTGACATTTTTGATAATCTCAAAATTTTGCTTTTTGCTTGAAATGGAATTTACAAAATCTGTTATTAAGTCACAAATGTTTTTAATGTACAGAAGCTGAATGCTGTAATTTTACATACAGACCTATTTGTGTCATTAAAAAGTGTGAAGATTTACATTATTTTTTTTACAGTTCGGAGATTAGTTCTGTGTGAAGATTTGGACCATTCATCATGTGGAGATGTATTATTTCATGGGTCCTTAGGACCACCATGTAAGTTCACAGACCCTATGACAGATGTCAGTTTTCCTAAACAGAGATTTTTCTGTTTCAAGATTTGGCAGTATCATGTACAAATTGTGTATGTACAGCATGGGTTATTGTGTTTTGATAATTCAATCCTGTGTAGATGTAAAGTCTGTATAGAATTTGTTTCTAATTAATCCAGTGGAAACACTTTGTCTATTAGATCACATTGTTTGTTCAAGACTTTCCTCTACCCTATTCATGTCAAAAGTGTACGAGTCATGTATAGTTATTAAGTAATTAATTCTGTGATATATTCTGACCGTATTAATTTATGCTTATTTCCTTTTGATATAACATGGCATATATGATTTTTCTTTGTACTGCTTATACCAAAATATCTTTGTAGATTATAGATAATTACCATTTGTACTTTTAATTACAGGTCCACCTATGCCAGAGATTTTAGAGAAGAAACCAGTCAGTCAATCAACAAGTAATATAACCAGATCTCCCCAACATACAACACAGGCTCATGCAAGGTAAGTTGGGTCAAAGGTCAATCAACAAGTCATAACAGATCTCAGCATCGTACAACACAGGCTTATACAAGATACGAGGCATTAGAGGATGAAGCAATATGTAATGGTAAGCAGATCTCCATGAAAATAGCACTGGGTCTTGTAAGTTTAATGGGGTTACTACTGGATGATCTTTTCAGCACATATCAGGTCAAATTGTTATGTTAAATCTGATGCCCTGTATTTAGTTTAATTGGAGAGTGTCATGTCCTCCCCACATCAAAAAACCAATTTTATAATCTCTTCCAGGATTATCAACTTTTCCCAATTTATAAAAAAAAAGTATATTGAAGAATTAAAATCTTTTTAAATTTAATTATTTACCACAAAAAAATGTTGATTTGGTGTGAAAGTTTCATTCATATTTAAAGGAAATGTGTTTTACTGTGCACATGACAGATTGAAATGAAATAAGGAAATGCTTCAAATATTTTTTCACATAACTGTCAGGTGGTAATAAATGAATAATAAGTGGTAAAATTGCCAATGAGAAAACTATCCACCAGAGACCAAATGATGTAGATATAAGTTCATTTTTAGAGTGTACCACAATATAGTCATCACATGCTAAGATGGCATTGAGAAACTATCAATCAATCATGTTATAGCATGGCTCATTCATTAAGTAAACAGTAAACATTTTATTATTGTAGGAGCCAATCAATGCATGTAAACCCAGTTCCCACCAGGCAAGATGCTGCTGCTAGAGTAACGTCATGTTTCGGATGTGTAGAATCAAGAACTTCATTTCGTAATGTACAAGTAGACAAACACAGATCTGATGTATTAGGTAAGATAAGTGTACACAATATTCAAATTCATAATGCCTTTATATTTATATGCACATACATGGTATTAATATAACTTTTCATGACATTTTCCTGCAACACTAAAAATATATAATCTAGACAATTCATGTTTTTGATCTGAAATAACAAAACAATGAACTTTGGCATTGAACTTTTATGGGGAATTTCTTATATAGCGTATTTGATTTAGTTTCAATGTAACATTTTAAATCAGGCAGCAGAGTATGTGATTTATATTTATAGATAAAATCAACTGGGAAAGATACAAATCGGCTAAACATTAAAGAAATTTGATTTGTAATACCTTTACAAGGCTGTAAGAAGCTATGACTTACGGAAATTTGGCCCTGTTCTTCACAGTATATATATTGAAGGTGCCTCTAAAACCCAGCTTTATATTCAGATGTTCTAACTGGATGATATTTTCTATCACTATAACAAATTCACTTTTTTTTCAGGATATTTGAATCCACTGAAAGTGACCATGGTCCAAGGCCATCATAATTGGATTTGTATTTCATATCCACATTTTGTTTGTTGTTTCAGGTAAATCAACAAATATATTTAATACTTTAGAGTGATAAAATTGTATTATTTTAGAAAGATGATAATTGAGACAGAGATAAATAAAATATAAAACAAATGTTATGAAATGGGACTTCCTTTTAGTTTAATTTAAGCCGTCAACTTTTGGGAATCATTCAATAATTCCTGAAATTCTCTCAAAGTTGTCTCTGTCTCCCAAAAATATTACCATTCAAAAATGAACATTTTTGCATGGAACTTCAGTGTAATGTTATAACTTTATTTACTATTTGATTGATTACTCCAATTTGTTAAGAAAACAAATCTTTAAGTGCATGTGCTTTATATAGTCAATTTATTTATTAAAGTACAATTGTACATGCATCACCTTGAAAAATGATTTCTATGAGAAAAATTAATGATAAAATATAATGCTTTGCAGAATGAAGGATTCAACAGGGTGGCATCATATATGGAGTAGTCCTTACATGGAGAATGCTGTGGATAGAGTGGCATTAAATGCTAAGGTTGTGGCACAGAACCAGGAGAATACAAATAAAATGGTGGCAGCTTCCATGGGAAGTTTTGTTCAACTGTGGTTAATCATGGATGATGGCAGTAGCAGAGAAATAGGTAACATATAATAGGTCTTTCACATTTAGTCGTGTCTGGACACTTTTAAGCTGACCAGTAGCAGAGAAAAAGGTAACATAGAACAGGCCTTCATTTGAATTGTTTTACATTAAGTTGTGCCTGGACATTTTTAGGCTGATCATACAGTATGGGCTTTGCTCATTGTTGGATGCAGAATAGTGACCTATAGTCGCTGACATGCACATCCTTTGGTTTCTGTTAGATACTTGTCTCATTTGTAATGCATCTCCTTTTATTTGTATATTTACAAGAAAAAGAGTAGATTGTTAAAAATTTTCCCTTATTTGTCTCTGCAATTCTTCAAAAATCATTAGACCAGTGAAAAGAACCAAAAAACACACCCACACACTGTTTTTGGCTAATTTGAAGAAAAAAATTAACACATGAGGCATGCCAAATGTTTTCAAACTTTATAGGAATGAATATTTAGATATCAAGAAAAAGACGACTAAATTTTTGCTGATCAGATGGAGTGAATATTGGCGAAAGTGACAGGTCTTTGTATATATTGTAATAACATTTAAATAGTTGATCAAGTTGTAGCTTAATTTAAGGTCACATGAATTGAAACAATTTAAGGTCACACATTCAAATTGGAAAGTCCCTTATAAAATGGCAAAATTAAAAGCTCAAACACATCAAACGAATGGAAAACAACTGTCATATTCCTGACTTGGTACAGGCATTTCCTTATGTAGAAAATGGTGGATTAAACCTGGTTTTATAGCTAGCTAAACCTCTCACTTGTATTTCAATGGTGATCCAGCCAAGAAAAGTCCTTTGGGTTGAGAGACTAGATGATCTGTTCATTTTTATTTTTCTAGGCAATGAGGTTGGCTTATGATGTCATCATATTCTCACTCTACTCAACTGAGAAAAGCTATTATTAGTCAAGCGGTTTAAGACGAAAAATTATCGCACATAAAGATAAAGGCAAAATTGAAGAAAAAAGCAAATAAATCGGGAAAATAAATTGGTTTACAGTAATGATATTTATACATTTTTTTGTAGGAATGTTTGATTTGAGTGTATCAGTGGACTCTTTGTTCTTTATTGGAAGTCAGCTTGTGGCATTGAGTCAGTATGGTAAAATAGGTGTGTGGCATTCCATGACTCAGCATTGGCAGGTTAGTATTATGGAAGTAGACTGACAGCAAGGGAGATAACTCTTAAAAATTACTGGTATGTTTGTGTCAACCTTTTTAGAAATATATTCTAAGCTTCTAAGAAACACAGACTATTTTATCTTCTGTTTCTCATGAATGCTTAAAAATCTTTGATGAAACAGATTATTACAAACACATTACTGATTTAAAAAAGTATCTCCTTAAACTAGTTCAACTCTTAAATAGAGATAATACATTCTGACATTTGTTTTAAGTCTACATCAGAATAATTTTTAGTGGGTTGACATCTTCATTAGGCCTGTTACCTTATGAATTAGCATGTAACAAATCTGGCTGTTGGTCAAGTGCATACAGGTTCATATTACATTTACATGTTATCATCAACTGTATACATGCACTAGTTGCAGCTGCGCTTTAAAACACTAAGCATGTGATAATTCAAATGAGGAGAAGTTTTTGAAATTCTGTATAAGGTTCTCATACTGTTTATAAGGATGCAAAAGTGTTGATGTAAAAGAATAGTCACAACTTTTGAACAATTAAATGAAAAATTGAAAACATTGCTGTACAAATTATATGAAAACAAAAGTTACCATCCTCACTCGAGTTTACTGTATGTTTTCTAGATACAAGATGTGATACCAATTACCAGTTATGATACAGCAGGCTCATTTCTTCTGTTAGGCTGTCAGAATGGATCTATCTATTATATTGGTAAGTCTTATAACAATTAGCAAAACAAATTTATCTACTTGCAGTTATGTTTCACTTTAATGATAATTAATGGAATTAAACTTACCTGCCATATTCCAGGACATACCAACCAATATTGACCTACCAGGACTTGATTCAGTAAGAACTGCTTGACCTGTACTAAATTTTGAATTTCTGAATTTTTCTACTTTTTTGTACTACAAGAAAAATTCTTCCCAAAAGAAAATGTGCTAAAAGTCCATTAAAAACATTATTTTTATTTAGAAAAATGACCTTTTTTGTTATTTGAAAAAGAAAGTAACCAAGATAAGACAACATACATATAAATATATACATATATACAATATATATTTTGATTGCATTTTCATTTCCACTTTGGTTTTTGTTTTAATAATGGAATATTTTTATTTCCCACAGATATGCAGAAATTTCCTTTGAGAATGAAAGATAACGATCTACTAGTAACAGAGTTATACAAAGATCCTTCAGAAGACATGGTTACAGCTCTCAGTGTTTACCTTACACCTAAAACAAGTAAGTATGAAAATCTGTAACACTCTCAGTACTTTAATTGTTCTACAAAAGACATCAAAGTGACTGCATTTTTTGTTTATCGCAGACCAAAAACTTATTAGTGTGATGAGGGACCAGTACTGTCAGTACTTTGATTGATGTACAAATATTCTTTAGCTGAAACAGTGTAACTTGTTTTGTTTATCTCAGACCTGTAACTTGTAAGTATGATGAGGGGCCAGTACTGTGAGTGATTTACAATGATACAACAGATAAGATAGTCACTGAAGTTTTTCTTCATCATGTAATTTTGACAAAGGATCAGTTACGTCATTACTTTTATTGTCGTACAAAGATAAATCAAATGTTGAGACAGTGTCTGCACTTTTTGTTACCTCAGTTTTAACCTACCGTGTAGCAACAAAAGTATAAGAACAGGAAGGTTATATACAGTACCAAATTAATACTTAGATCTGTGGTAAAGATGTACCTACTGTTTAAGTTAATAGTATGATGAGTTATCCATGTAGTCAGTAAATTTGATTTGATTTACTGTATATGAAAATGAATTGAGTGGAGGGTGAATTTACAGTACTGACAATGCTTTGATTTGTTAATATACAATTCTAAAATCTAGATTCATTAAGAAGTGAGAAATTTAGTGCTTTTCATTCAAGTTTTACCTTGACACCAAGATTTGTAAGGAAGATGAATTACTAGTTCTTTTGATAGCTTCCAGAGCATCAGTTTATCGATCTATGAGTTTGACTATCCCTCTGGTATCTTTCTTCCCTCTTTTATAGACTATGATTTCATGTAAAATCCTTAATCATTGATTTAAACACTTTGTATTTAAGGTTTGAGTGGTAACTGGATAGAGATAGCTTATGGTACCAGTTCAGGGACTGTAAGAGTTATAGTCCAACATCCAGAGACTGTGGGACATGGACCACAGTTGTTCCAGACATTTACAGTACATAGAAGTCCAGTCACAAAGGTCATGTTGTCAGAAAAACACCTTGTATCAGGTACTGCTATAATTTAGAATGTTTTTTTCAAAGAGTTTTAAAAGAAGGAGATGAAGATAAAGTATTGTGGATTTTTTACTACACAAATTTAAGTGTTTAGCATAATACAAATATTGTAAGGCTTGTCTGTAGAATTTTTCAAAACTACAAAATCAAATATCCATGAAAATAGTATATTCCTCAATTCATAAAACCAACAAAAAGATGAATGCACAATATAAACATGCTTGAAAGATTATATAACATGTTGCCGGAAATAGTTTTAATACAAAAATAGAGAATTTCTTGTCATTTACATAAAACAGAAGGAGTTATGGTCCATCACTTAAACAAACACAACAACATGCGAAACATTCTTTGCTTATTTTGATGAATGTTTCAATATGATGCTTTCACGTTTATTTCAAAATAACGACTTAAACTTCATTTCAAATTTAACAAACAATGTGAATAAATGTGGAGTATTTGTCATTGAGTCCCATTAAGAATTTGAAAGATCAACATATTGTCAGGTATCTGTATCAACATATTGTCAGGTATATGTATCAACATAGTGTCAGGTATCTGTATCAACATATTGTCAGGTATCTGTATCAACATATTGTCAGGTATCTGTACCAAGGTATCTGTATCAGCATATTGTCAGGTATCTGTATCAACATATTGTCAGGTATCTGTACAATATGACAAGCTCTAAATATTGTCAGGTGTATGTATCAACATATTGTCAGGTATCTGTACCAAGGTATCTGTATCAACATATTGTCAGGTATCTGTACAATATGACAAGCTCTAAATATTGTCAGGTGTATGTATCAACATATTGTCAGGTATCTGTACCAACATATTGTCAAGTATCTGTACAATATGACAAGCTTTAAATCATCCCTATTCTAAAATAGTCATAAAATAATTAAACAGAAACTTTCAGAGATCTGTTATCAAGACCAAATTCAAATTACAAAAATCATGTAAGATATGACATATGAAAACCACTGATGTCATAATTGTATTTTATAATTTAGTACAACATAAGACTACCACTGACAAGGCTCTGGACTTATGTTCTGTTGCTCTATTGACAAACCACTGATGTCATAATTGTATTTTATAATTTAGTACGACATAATTAGATATAAGAAGATGTGGTATGAGTGCCAATGAGACAACTCTCCATCCAAGTCACAAATTTTGTTACTCTATTGACAAATCACTGATGTCCTGATTGTAGTTTATAATTTAGTACGACATAAGCCTAGCACTGAGGAGGCTCTGGACTTGCATTTTGTTACTCTATTGACAAACCACTGATGTCATAACTCTATTTTATAATTTAGTACAGCTAAACTACCACTGACGAGGCTATGAAATTGCATTTTGTGACTCTATTGTCATAATTTTGTTGTATAATTCAGTATGTAGTGAATACAATCACGTGAGGACTTGGAGTGTAACAAGATTTAGAGGCATGATATCTACACAGCCTGGATCAACACCATTAGCATCATTTAAGATCGTCTCATTAGATGAAGTAGAAGAACAAGCTAGCTGTTCTACAGGAAATGACTTTGGTAACAAAAATACTATTGTTTTATTTTGCATGTTAATGTAAATAAAGGAGTGGTTTTTGTATATGCCAATGGAACAGCAGCCCAAAAACATGTACAGCTAAGTTATATATAAAGGGCTATATACAGTCTTCCACATTAGACAGGTGTATATTCAATATAACAACCTTTAAATCAGCAGGAGTATGAACAATTTATAAATGAATTAACCAGAAAATATTGTATGTTTTCTGTAAATTTATAACATTCCATATTATTAGTTTAACTATGATGAAAAATTGCTGTTTTTGATCAGGAATTAAATGACATATTTTGTATACTTTATAAAAGATGTGTAAATATTAAAATGTGCTGGTGCTATCTAAATTTTCTTTTCTTTTTTCTGATACTTGTAAGATCTTAAAAACTAATGATGGAGAGAGGGTTCTTTATTATTGTATTGATAATTTTGAAGACATCAACTTTTACTATTTAGACTCTTTATATATTAAATAAGTATAAAAAAAAATAGATGATAACAAGGGGCAATAAAAAATCACTTAGGTCAAAGAAGGTCGAACAAGGCCATGGCAAGTAGAAAAAGACCAAAGACAAAATAGAAGTCCACAAAACATTACATAGAAAACAAAAGATTGTGTATTTGAGCAATACAAATCAAACAGAAAACAATGGAAAACTGTGGGTGTATGGGTTCTATGTTTTTATTAGTAAACTAACAGTCTGATGATTATGCTGTTTGTGAAAACAAGATATTTGATGTGACCTTTCACCTATTTGATCACATATTGATATTCACCACAGTAATTAAAGTGACACACATTTAAAGAAAATAATAATTTTTCGATAGATCCATTCGTTTGTTTTTAGTTACAAAAAATGTTATTGCCTTTAAAAAATTTTAATTTAATAGGCTTGTTACTGGTTAGCATTTTAGTTTAATACTTTTCATTTTTTTTTAAAGCAGGTGCTAAATTTTCATGAATAAGTGACATGTCAAGCGTAAATTATTGATTTAAGATGTAAACCAATAACCCTGAAAAAATGTCCCCATTTGATAGATGGTTACTTATTTGGGGATCCTTTCCTCATTTGTTGAATTGCATCAATCTGTTTAATTTCTTGCCCTGCTCACTATTTCTTTGACTGTTGTCAGATCTTATAAATTTTAGAATAGATTTCAATATTGAAATATCTACCAAAAAAAAAAGTTCAAGGATTTTACTAACAATTGACCTCCTTTAAGATTATCTCTCTTTGACCTATTTAGAAGGCTCTAACATTTGAAGTGTTGCCATCTTTATAATACACATTTTATGTTGCAAAAATACTATCTAGCAAGCAACCAATTCTTGTTGATTTGGCTGTATCTGAGAACCGAAATATGTATTTGCCTTGCTTTTTTGAAGGGAAATAATGGTTAAGAATTCGGTCACTAGTGACTTGAAACCAAAGTCTTTGTATAAAAAATAACTGCACAAGATATGTAATTTTACTTACTAACTAAAAGTTTTGTTATAGGACCTTACGGTGAACAAGATGACCAACAAGTGTTTATACAGAAAACTGTTCCAGAAACAGATAAATTGTTTATTAGGCTATCTTCTAATGGTCAGAGGTATGTGGTCATAGAAACTGATAAATTGTTTATTAGGCTATCTTCTAATGGTCAGAGGTATGTGGTCATAGAAACAGATAAATTGTTTATTAGGCTATCTTCTAATGGTCAGAGGTATGTAGTCATAGAAACAGATAAATTGTTTATTAGGCTATCTTCTAATGGTCAGAGGTATGTGGTCATAGAAACTGATAAATTGTTTATTAGGCTATTTTCTAATGGTCAGAGGTATGTGGTTATAGAAACTGATAAATTGTTCATTAGGCTATCTTCTAATGGTCAGAGGTATGTGGTCATAGAAACAGATAAATTGTTTATTAGGCTATCTTCTAATGGTCAGAGGTATGTAGTCATAGAAACAGATACATTGTTTATTAGGCTATCTTCTAATGGTCAGAGGTATGTAGTCATAGAAACAGATAAATTGTTTATTAGGCTATCTTCTAATGGTCAGAGGTATGTGGTCATAGAAACAGATAAATTGTTTATTAGGCTATCTTCTAATGGTCAGAGGTATGTGGTCATAGAAACAGATAAATTGTGGTAGGGCTATATTATGATGGCCCATGGTATGTTATCATGAAACAAATTTTGTAAGGCTAATTTTTTGTGGTCCAAGGTGTGTTGTCATAGAAACAGATAAAATTTGTTTAGGTTATCTTTTGATGATAAGATGGTAGTTGCCATAGAAACATGCAACAATAAAAGTAATAAAATGTGATCTTCTCAATATTAGATTAATGTGATAGGAGTAATTTTCCTAGAAAAAGGTAAGTTTCCAAAACTTGATGCTTATGGGAGAAGATAGGCTGTCATTTGAACAGTCAAAATTTTGATAAATAAATCCATAAAGATATAAATCTTTTGGAAGACAACTTTCTAATCATAAGATGTGTGATGTAATAGAAACAGCTTTATTACTTGAGGCTGTTTTTTAAAGAGCCTGGTTTATTAAATGTTATCATAGAACTAGAAACAGAAAAAAAAATGTATTCCCTCTTTCAGGCATGTAAAATGTAATGTTTAGATGTATTTGGTATGCTTTTAGTTACCATGAGAGATGTGTCTGATACCATAATGCCAAATATGACCTTGACTTGACTTCAAGGTCAAATTGTGAATTGCTTCAACACATAGCTGTGTTTGCACAAGAATGTTCTTTGATGAAGACAGATAATTGTTAAGTGTTTTTATTTGTAAGTCGTTGTGTCACATACTATCATGACTGAATTGACTTGACATTTGATCTGAAGGTCAAATTATTTAAATGTTTTGTCTCACCCGTGGAGAAAATGTTTGGGAATGCGAAACTTAAATTTTACTTTGCTGTTAGCAATTATGCAAATGACCTCAATACCTAAATTATACTTTCACCCTGGATGAGAAAACATGATTGTTCATGAAAAGACATTGTCATCCATTAATTTTGACCTCATCTTAACATAAGTTAAAATTTCCAGCCACTACATTTATATTATTCTTTTATATTATTCTTTTGTGTATTCATTTGTAAGATCCTCTGTAGATGTACAGTATTTTTTAAAATATGTGTTATATTATATCCTGCTATATTTTCATAGCATGTGTCATTGTGATGAAAAAAAAAATCATTATATATTTACATCATTTTGTTGTGAATTATTTTCAGAGTGTGTGTGATTGTCATGAAAAAAAAATCATTGTATATTTACATCATTTTGTTGTGAATTATTTTCAGAGTGTGTGTGATATCGTCTGTGGATAATAGCAGTATTGCAGCATTTTGTGTACATGAGTGTGAAGGCTCTAATAGAATGGGTTCCAGACCAAGGAGATATATATTTACTGGTCACACAAATGGTACAATACAGGTAAATAAAAAGTTATTAAGAAACAAAGGGTCCAAATTCCTCAGACAAAGTTGACCTTAAATGAATTTGGATATTCTTTTTTTTATCCCTTTTGATCTTTTAGCTTTTAACATTTCGACATATATACATATACATTCAAAATGTTTAGGTATGAGTGATCAAGAAAGGGCTTTGATTACACATAATTTAACAAGTATTGTTTTCATTTAAATACATTTCTTCCTTCTTAGATAACTGAATATGTAGGGTTACCTCATCCATTAAGGTGTAATACAGTAGACTCCACCTAATCGGATATCGGCTAAACGTATATATCGGCTATTGTAATATTATTTCAAAACACCAAACCCTTCCCTATATGTTTAATGTTAATTTTATCGTGTAATCGAATATCGGATATAAGAATATATCGGCAAATCGGATAAGAATATTCAGGTTATTTTGTTCAAAACCATGCACAATCGGATATTTTCAATGTTTTTCTGACAGGAAATGGACCCGGAAGTTACGAATTTACAATCTTGCAGACAAGAAGATTTTGTTTTTACTAAATAAAAGGAACTATTTCTTAATAAATTGTTGTCTTTAATCATTGTCTTCCTTTGTCATGTGAATTAGATGCCCTTTTACTTCAAATGGTTTGAATTTATTTCTAAAATATGCAAGACTCAGTTGACAAGTTGACGTTGCTGTTTGGAGAATTTTGATTCCAAATGTTCACAGAATCAGAAATATAATCTAAACTGAATGTACCTCCTTCTGAATAATTTATTGCAATATAAATATAAATCCCTTTTGACTAGAGAAGTCTGACTTTTGTCAGATATATTTTTTTCACATGTGCAAAAGTAACCACATGTCATGGACGCCATTTTGGATGTTTACATATTTGTGAGAAAGCCTCTAGAACTATGACCTAAATATAAAAAGTCTTCAGAAAACGTAAACTTTATGCGGATAATATTTTATCAATCATGATTATTTTCATAAATTTAAATTTGATTATTTAAAGAAATAAAATTATAACAAATACGATTTTAGTTTGGAGATTCTACACAGACATGCTTAGATCTATTTATAGCCAAATTAGTTTACCTGTGTGATAATGTAAATAATGGATATTAATTTGCTTATGAAAAACAAATTAAGACAAACTATGGATGGTAGATAATAATTCACATAAATATTTCAGGACATTTGATTTATTTTAATAAATAAAGGATTTAAAAACTGCAAACAAATTTAATAATTACATATTAAACCAGCTGATAATTTTTTACACAAACATCGTGGTGATGGTACACAAACTGATAAAAATCACTCCATCAATCCTCCAGCCCTTTCACATATTTAGCAAGTGTCAGGGTTAGTAACATCTGAGGATTATATCTACTCATTATTGCAGAATATTCAATGAATATACATTCATCGTCTAATTGAATATATCGGGTAATCGGATATTTTTAGCTGACATTTTGGGTATCCGATTTGCCGTAGTCTACTGTACCACCAAATCATAGTATGTCATATCTGGTTGCATACGAAAAAGGGTCGAAAAAAAATATTCCCTTGAATCTGACAGTTGTAGGAAATTAATCCTACATTTCATTGCAGTAAAAAATTTCCAAGTCATAAACATATGTCTTGGGTGTTTCAAAGCACCATTCTTTTTTTATTTGGTGTTTCTATAGAATATTTTGGAAACTTGAGGTTACATGGTTACTAAAGCTTGTACACAGGAAAAAAAGGGGTGAACATTTGATTGGTTAACTTCCAGTGATGGTTATTATCTTAAATATATGCAATGAAATGTTATGTGAAATTTTGTCTGTACTCTATAATACTGGACATGATAAAACTTTACTCATGCCTAGCATTTCTTTAAGAAACAAAGATAAATTCTGCACAATTTTTTGAAAAGTGCTGATTTAACAAAGACTAATAGGGGAAAAACAATGGTGGTATTACTCCTTAAAACAATATGGACATGGGGTTAAACTCCTGAAAAAAAGCAAATATTGTTGATTCTTTAATTTTCCTGTATATAGTTATAGTTGTATTTTTGTAAATACATGATTTCATGGTTTTAACATATTTTGCATGCAAGCCTATAGAAAATTTGTAAAAACCATGAAATCATGTATTTACAAAAATGATCATTTATTAAAATGTGTGGTTTACCTTTACCCATGAAATCTGTGAACACTGGTATCCCACAAATAATAGTGAATCCACAGGATTGCCCATGGAATCCGTAAACACTGGTATCCCACAAATAATAGTGAATCCACAGGATTGCCCATGGAATCCGTAAACACTGGTATCCCACAAATAATAGTGAATCAACAGGATTGCCCATGGAATCTGTAAACACTGGTATCCCACAAATAATAGTGAATCAACAGGATTGCCGATGGAATCCGTTAACACTGGTATCCCACAAATAATAGTGAATCCACAGGATTACCCATGGAATCCGTAAACACTGGTATCCCACAAGTAATAGTGAATCCACAGGATTGCCCATGGAATCCGTGAACACTGGTATCCCACAAATAATAGTGAATCCACAGGATTACCCATGGAATCCGTAAACACTGGTATCCCACAAGTAATAGTGAATCCACAGGATTACCCATGAAATCTGTTAACACTGGTATCCCACAAATAATAGTGAATCCACAGGATTGCCCATGGAATCCGTAAACACTGGTATCCCACAAGTAATAGTGAATCCACAGGATTGCCCATGGAATCCGTAAACACTGGTATCCCACAAATAATAGTGAATCCACAGGATTGCCCATGGAATCCGTAAACACTGGTATCCCACAAGTAATAGTGAATCCACAGGATTGCCCATGGAATCCGTGAACACTGGTATCCCATAAATAATAGTGAATCCACAGGATTACCAATGGAATCCGTAAACACTGGTATCCCATAAATAATAGTGAATCCACAGGATTACCTATGGAATCCATAAACACTGGTATCCCACAAATAATAGTGAATCCACAGGATTACCCATGGAATCCGTAAACACTGGTATCCCACAAGTAATAGTGAATCCACAGGATTGCCCATGGAATCTGTGAACACTGGTATCCCATAAATAATAGTGAATCCACAGGATTACCCATGGAATCCGTAAACACTGGTATCCCACAAATAATAGTGAATCCACAGGATTACCTATGGAATCCATAAACACTGGTATCCCACAAATAATAGTGAATCCACAGGATTACCCATGGAATCCATAAACACTGGTATCCCACAAATAATAGTGAATCCACAGGATAGAAATTGTACACCCATTACATCTTGTTAAGAAAAGATTCAGTCCTCTTATTAAATTATAGTGTTAATTAGATAATTACAAATTAATTAATATCAAGATTTACAACAGCTATCCTCGCCGAAAGAAGGATAATATTCTTGATAAAAGAATAAAACCTTTGAATCTCTGTTTAATGATTCCATTCTTCTCTGTTGATACTTTGTAGATGTGGGATCTGACAACAGCCTTGGAGATGATGAATAAATCTGATGGTGAAGTAAGGAAAGGAGGGCCTACACCAGAGGAACTAATGAAACTTCTGGACCAGTGTGATCTGACTTCCAGAAATACCACACCTAGTATCAGCCCAGCCCCCTCAGTGCTACAGGTCCCCATGGGACCTACGGTCAGTTATCAAAGTTCAAGGCCAAACTCTATAGCCATGGACAGTGATGCAGGAGAGGAGGATGGGAATTATTACCCAGATACAATTGTTACTAAGATATAAACATGTGACAGTCATGTGACTGAGGATAAGATAATACAATTGTTTGTTACAAGGATACAAAAATGTGATAGACTTTTAACTTTTAGAGAATGAGATGTTTTTGCGCCTAGTGACTTTTAAGTTTTAACCAGAAGTTTTTTTTTCTTATAGCTTTAACTTAGCTTTAATCATTTTTGATATATATATGGTGAACCATAAAAAGGTCATCCAAGCTTTACTTAATTGATAAGATTAATCCTTGATGGCATTAATAAGTTGAACTTTGAACTATCCATTAATATAATCATACATCATTTAGAGAGATTAAACTTAATCTAAGTAAGAATGTGATAATTTTTAACAATTTTCTTATTTGCTATACCATGATTACCATGAAACTTGTCCATCACAATTTTTGACCCCCTAAAAAGTTGACTAAAAATCTGAATCTACATTATATTTTAATTATAAGGGCATTTGTATGAAGTCTCCAAGCATTAGAGGTCAGATAGAGTAATGAAAGGGTGATAGAAAATCAGTAGGAAATATGTAAGTGAAATAGGGAAAAGTTGTCTTGTCTGGCCCCTCTTAGTTTGCTTTCTTGCTTCTTGCTTAAAGTTATATACTGTAAATTCAGAAATTATTGCGAGGTTTTTATTAATGGGAATAATGCGACTTGGTGATGATCGCAATAATAAGAACTCGCATTCTGATATTTAGTACATATACATGTATCTGTATACAGATTTTCCCAAAATCGCAATAATTAATCTAGCATGTTTGTTCATTTTTAAAAAATCGCAATAATAAATACACACAATAATTTCTGAATTAACAGTAGTCTGTATAAACAATTTGATTTAACAGTATGTTTTGTAGACATAGTTTGAATAAACTTGTTAATATTTGAAATGATCATCATCACTGATTGAGGGGGTTAGGCATATAAATAATAGAATGCTGAGACTTTGCAGCGTAATTTATGGTTATTGTAGTGGATTATCTGAATTGGTCCATTTTGAAATATTGATAAGTGCTGGAATGGTTATTTATATTCTCATCTCCTGAGAATAAAGAATTTGTAAAGAAAAGTCCAAGCAACCCATCTCCTTTTGTTTATTGTAAGTGATGATTTAAATGTTCATGATTGACATCTCTGTCAGTTTAATGTTTAAGATTTTTAGAAGTGCTTGGTCTTTACCTGCCAATGTCTTGTTAATGGCTATTCCATTTAATTGAATGTGGAGGGTATGAAAGAAATTTTGACCATTTATTGTTGGTCATTTATGATTAAATGTCCATTTAATGATGCAAAATTTTTAAAATAATACTAGAAGAAAGTATTTTGGTTGTGGTGGGATTTGAGTCAATTTCTACCTTCTCATATCCAATTTGAATGGAATGGCCTTCAGAGAATTGATGCAAATATTGATTTATTTTTTAATACGTAATGGAATTATGTTTTTAGTTGTGTTGTTTCTAGAAAATTAATCTGTGATAAATATATTTGTTAATGATTGCAACATTTTTTTATCAAATAAAAGTTCCTGGGGTACTATTAATGAATCCCTGACATTCAGGACCATCAATTTCAAAACCTCTGTTACATTTCCATGGAACTATATTTGTATGTCTTAAAATTTAAGTATTAAAATGTTTACAAAATATCATTTCAAGATTAAAGGGTGGAGGTCCAAGGCAGCGAAGGGAGATAACTCTTTAATCAGTAATGCACTTGTTTGTAGTTTCATCAGTGTCTTAAGCATTCAGGTGAATCAGAATAAAAATACATGTAATCTATGTTACTGAGAAGCTAAAGACTATATACATTAGAATGGTAGTTACAAACGTATCAGTGATTTAAAGAGTTATATCCGTTATCCTTGTCTACCTCCTTAATAGAATTATGTAACCAAATTCTGCTTGATTTAAATATTATATTAATATTTGAATATTTTCTTCCATACATATTTATTTATTAAATTGAGAGATAGTGCAATAAAAATTGTGATTTATAAATTTGTTTTGTCCTTATCTTTTAACACAGAAATCCCAGAAGATTCTTTCTTTAGTGTACAGGTGATACAGTTGAGTGGATTTGTGTAATGTCACACAAAGGATCAATATGAGGTCACTTCAGTTCTTAAATAACCAAGGAGGAACTATTTGGGAAGAGCTCAGACATACAAATGTTAACACTCTGGCTTCCTCCACCAATAAAAAACTGACCTACACGTAATAGCGCAATAGTGCTGAAAGTGGCTTTAAACACCAATCAAAACAAATGTTAATTTTATATTTCATTTAATTATTATTAGAAAATTTTCAAGCTTTTTTTAATCATCAAAGTTTTATTCGCATTACAAATTCATTTTCTTGTTTTTGCAGAAGGAACATCATCCATTTATCTAATATCAATGATTGGCATCGACCTGTGTAAACATTCAAATTTTAATTGTGAACCATATTAAATATAATAAAGACAGAATTTCTTATTCCAGTGGAAAGTATGTCAATCTCCTCAAGAATCCAGAATGCTTGATTTGCTCTGACAGAAAAATATGACTTGTTCAATGCTCATCAACTTCCTATTTTAATACTGTGAATTCATTTATTTTCATGGGTACCAATTTTTGTGGATTAAGGAAAACTTGCATTTCCTTGGGTATTTGATTTCGTGGTTTTGCCAGAGTGCATAAATTCCTATACAAAATTTGTAATTCGTTGGACATTGGAATTCGTGGTTCCCGGGTATCCATGAAATCCATGAAAATTGGTATCCAACGAATAATAATGAATCCACAGTAATTGGAATTGTCTGTCAGTTTCTCAGGAAAGGCAAATCACAAAATTTGGTTTCAGGCTTCAAGTGATCTTTCTTTATGAGTGATGCATTTTCACATCCTGTTTACAGAATATTTTTAATATTCTTACACATGATGGCCATGTATGAATTATCATCATTTTTTTCTCTACAAAGAAAGGAACTACAAATAAAAACGTTCTTATTAAATTTAGTAATAACCTTGAAGTGACAATGTTTTACTGTGTAAAGAATTTTCAGATTCATCACTCATGAACTCCCAGTTTACCAGATACTAATAGCCACAGAATCAAATCTGGTATCAAGCTTTATGTGATCATGCTTAAATCACTTCTTTAACTTCCTGTTAGCCAAATTTTTATGTTTTTTTTGTCACTTTTTTCTCAAGAACTCTATATCAGAGTACCCTGAAATTTGGTATCAGACTTCTTTTGAGCATGCTATACTGTGTGATGCATTTTCACATTCATAGCTCAACTTCCTATTTATGAAATACTTATAGCCTGGGAATCAATAGTTGGCAAGAGCTCACAGTTCATTTGTTAATGGACAAATTTGCCATGAATCTGGTTTCATTGTGTTGTTGAGTATATCTGTATCATTGACATATATATACCACACATCTCTTTAATCATAGAAGTTATGTTAACAATCAACTTACTATTCATTAACAAAGGAGAATTAAATGGGAGGACCTGAGACCCTCAATCAACAAGAAAAAGGTCCTTAACCTTGTAATAGTTCTCTCTATTAGACTAAGATACATTAGTATAGGGTCACAACTTTAATGCCATTAACAAGAAATACAAGTAAAGTGTTTTGATGATACTTTCTTTTATAAATAGTTTTTTTTAACAATTAGTATGACAATTTCTATCATGTAGTACAATATAAAAACCATTCAATGTAGCTGTTTTCTGTTAGTTGCTGACACAACCTTTATGTACAGTCAACAAAATGTTAATCTACTAGATTAAATACAAGATGTATTTAATACAATTACACATATAATAACAAAATCAATGACTTAAAATATGGGAAAATGGAAATGAATTATAGGTACTTCAGATTAGAGATGTTCCATTTAAATCGAAGTGTGAGGGTAAGAAGGGACTTCCCCCACAACCAACATTATAAACTATCTTCAAGTAATTTTGAATACAAATATAAATGACCCAAACCCATGTTCAAAATATGAAACTTCCCTTCCTCTCCCCCCCACTTTTCGCTTTAAAGGAATAGTCCTTAAAATGCATATATAATATCTATCAAATGACTTTAATGCTTTACCTCAAAGTATCTAAAATTCTTATCTTGAATGAGAAAAAAAGGTCCTTCCACTGGTTCCTTGATTTACATACTTCATTGTGACCCTCAATTGTTGAAAAGTGTAATTTTTATATTCTTTTGATTAGGGGGATGATATTAAGTGTATTCTCTTAGGTAGTCTTCTTTATTTTTCTTTTACTTTTACAAACATGAAAAAATATTTTCACAAAATGTCTGATACACATAACATTTAACATGTACAATTATACATTTAAATGTATATACAAAGTCCAAGTACTTCCATTTATTAAATGAAGTTTTGTATCAAATAAATCAGTATGGCATATTCAAATGTTTACAAAATGGTGTTTTTCAATTATAGTGTCTTCAGTTGATTATTTGCCACCAAACATGCTGCCCATTTTTCCTGCTGCACCTTGCTGGAATTGTTTCATCATTCCTTGTAATCCTTGCATTCCACCTGAAAAATAAAGAAATTAATTTAATTTAAAATGACCTCATTTTTCTTCTTTCTATAAGAAGCATTATACATAGATGCTAATCAGAGTAAATATCTATTTCGGTAAGGCTGTTGCCCATAACTTATTGCACAAAAAAATGGTTTAAAAATGGCAATTTGGATCAAATACTTCAATTTTGATATGTTTATCACAAATGACTTTTTGCATTAAAAAGACCAGAATGAATCACCTCTATCTTTTATTTACATATTATTTTATAGACATGATAGACTGAATTTTTTTTTTTTGCAATTTCATAGGCTAAATTATAGCTCTTATCATATTTTCTACAGGATGCCATCATTTAGCCATAGGTTGATTCAGTCATTTGGGCTAGATTTTCTTGACTAACCAAGCAATCCTACAACACATTTTCATCTAATACCTACCCTTTTGCTGCAGTACACAGGGATCCATCATTTTAGCCTATCGTATATCTAATACCTACCCATTTGCTGTAGTACACAGGGATCCATCATTTTAGCCTATCATATAACTAATACCTACCCTTTTGCTGTAGTACACAGGGATCCATCATTTTAGCCTATCATATAACTAATACCTACCCTTTTGCTGTAGTACACAGGGATCCATCATTTTAGCCTATCATATAACTAATACCTACCCTTTTGCTGTAGTACACAGGGATCCATCATTTTAGCCTATCATATAACTAATACCTACCCATTTGCTGTAGTACACAGGGATCCATTATTTTAGCCTATCATATAACTAATACCTACCCTTTTGCTGTGTAACACAGGGATCCATCATTTTAGCCTATCATATAACTAATACCTACCCATTTGCTGTAGTACACAGGGATCCATCATTTTAGCCTATCATATAACTAATACCTACCCTTTTGCTGTAGTACACAGGGATCCATCATTTTAGCCTATCATATAACTAATACCTACCCATTTGCTGTAGTACACAGGGATCCATTATTTTAGCCTATCATATAACTAATACCTACCCATTTGCTGTAGTACACAGGGATCCATTATTTTAGCCTATCATATAACTAATACCTACCCATTTGCTGTAGTACACAGGGATCCATCATTTTAGCCTATCATATAACTAATACCTACCCTTTTGCTGTAGTACACAGGGATCCATTATTTTAGCCTATCATATAACTAATACCTACCCATTTGCTGTAGTACACAGGGATCCATTATTTTAGCCTATCATATAACTAATACCTACCCTTTTGCTGTAGTACACAGGGATCCATCATTTTAGCCTATCGTATATCTAATACCTACCCATTTGCTGATGTACACAGGGATCCAACATTTTAGCCTATCATATAACTAATACCTACCCATTTGCTGCAGTACACGGGGATCCATCATTTTAGCCATCTGTTGATTGAGACGAGCCATCTGTGCTGGGTTAACATTCTTGCTCATATCACCGCCTGAAAAAATAAATTCCATTTTTTGTCTTATGTATAAAATATTTCAGATGTACATGTATAACATTTTAACTGCTGTCTTTATCAGTATAAACTATGGTAGTGCAAGGCAGACTGTCCAATCTCCCTGAATGAAATATGTTCCATAGTACTACACAACAGGCAATGAAAGTCTAACATATATAAAGTTTATTCCTCTCAATTTAAAATTTAAAAGACAATATTAACAGAACATTCATTCTGATAAATTAATTAACACTTAGCTGAGAGAGTGATAGAGCAAATTGTTCTCCCTCGAAAAAATTGTAATACTTGGCATCATCTCAGTTGACAATGTTTTCTCTGTGTGATAATCTGTTCTATCACCCTCTGACCTGTTGACAATGTTTTCTCTGTGTGATAATCTGTTCTATCACCCTCTGACCTGTTGACAATGTTTTCTCTGTGTGATAATCTATTCTATCACCCTCTGACCTGTTGACAATGTTTTCTCTGTGTGATAATCTGTTCTATCACCCTCTGACCTGTTGACAATGTTTTCTCTGTGTAATAATCTGTTCTATCACCCTCTGACCTGTTGACAATGTTTTCTCTGTGTAATAATCTGCTCTATCACCCTCTGACCTGTAGACAATGTTTTCACGGGTAACGATCTACTCTATCACCCTCTTATGTGTTATTTATATGGACAATGTTTTCTCTGTATAACAATCTGCTATATCACCCTCTGATCTATGTATTATTTATATAATATACCTACATGACAAAATCCCTGATACTATAAATCAAAATGCAATGAACATGTTGTTATAAATTATTAAGATGTACTTCTCTAAAATGAAAAAGCATATACATTTCTATTGCAATGTTCATCTAGTCACATTTTTGTCAGAAATAGAATCATTACACTGATTTCTATAAACTTTACAGTATTGTTAATAACTGTTTGATAATGTACCTTTAAATAATCCTTTAATTCCACCCATCTTCTTTACCATTTGAGCAAACTTCTTATATTGAGTAAGTAGCTCATTGACTTCCTTCACAGATACTCCTGCTCCTCGAGCTACTCGGTGGGTTCTACTTGGTTGCCTAGCAAACAGTCTCTCGCCATCTAAACTGTCAAGTTCTGAAGAAAAAAGTATCAAATACAGAGTTTCAAAAATGATTTAATTAATTTTTAGTGGTTTATCAGTAATTGTAAAAAACCAAAAAAAATATAAACTATATGGATGATACAAAATGCTGGATAGTGATCCCTATGTGTCAACCTTGCTAGACAGGCAATAAAATCACAAAATTACTAACAAATGTACTGCAAAAAAATTTAAATTATTTTTTTTTAAGGGGGGGGGGGGGGGGGGGGGGGGGGGGGGGAGAGGGGGTCCTGATTTTCTTGTTTATTATTACACCTTTCAAAACAACCACATACATGCATTTATGATTTGCCTCAAACCACATAATACATCAAGTTAAGTACTAGTTCATAGTATTTCATACACGGGGGGGGGGGGCCTCTTCCTATATGAAGGTATATACATATGTGCTGCTGGAATGGGTCCCTTTTTTGATACGTCAAATATATCAATGGGATGCAATTTTACCGAGAAAATATATCAATAGGTAGTAATTGACCAATTGTGATATATCAATGGGTCATAATTTTTCAGTTTGTTGTGCAATGATCTTCACTGAATTTCCCAAACTCAATTTCCACATCTGCTGAAACAAGTTTTGTTATTGATCAAATTTTATTACACTGTCACAATTAATAATCTTAAATCTGATAAATATATGAATGGGTTATGATTTCGCTGTGAAATATATGTATAGGTAGGGATTTCACAATTATCATGATTATTCAATATATGAATGGGGGGTGTTTTTTAAATCTCAGATGCACAACTGTACCCAAATTCCCATGTTGAGACCCCCCCCCCCCCCCCCCCCCCCCCGTGATTTCATACCTAGGAATGAGAAATCAACAGTGTATCTTGTAGAATGAGAATCTTATAAAATGGAAGATTTATAATAAATATTTTAATTCAAACATAAAACTTTAAAATATCAACTAAATACATAATAAGCAGTCAATTAAAAAAAAGAAGAAATTTCTGATAAAAAAAAAGAAATTATCATGATTATCTTCCATTTGTTGAGTTCTTTAAGAAATAACAATCCTTAAAATTTTATCCCCCCCCCCCCCCCAAACCCTTTTCTAAAAAAGCAAAAAAGGTACTTTTACTCAGAAATTGAAGTAACTTTTAGTTATAAATATTAGAAATAGTCTTAAATCTCTTTTTTTTTTGTGCTTAAAAGTAAAAACGGTAAATAACTTGATATATTTCTTACCCATATCATTCATACTGTCCATCATTGTCATCAACTTCTTTAGACGAGCCATTGATTCCTGTTCTCCTCCTTTTGTTAAGAAATCAGAACTAAATCCAGGTATCATTCCCTAGAAATCATATCGATTAAGAAATTAGAACTTAATCCAGGTATCATTCCCTAGAAATCATATCAATTAAGAAATCAGAACTAAATCCAGGTATCATTCCCTAGAAATCATATCAATTAAGAAATCAGAACTAAATCCAGGTATCATTCCCTAGAAATCATATCAATTAAGAAATCAGAACTAAATCCTGGTATCATTCCCTAGAAATCATATCAATTAAGAAATCAGAACTTAATCCAGGTATCATTCCCTAGAAATCATATCAATTAAGAAATCAGAACTAAATCCTGGTATCATTCCCTAGAAATCATATCAATTAAGAAATCAGAACTAAATCCAGGTATCATTCCCTAGAAATCATATCAATTAAGAAATCAGAACTAAATCCTGGTATCATTCCCTAGAAATCATATCAATTAAGAAATCAGAACTAAATCCTGGTATCATTCCCTAGAAATCATATCAATTAAGAAATCAGAACTAAATCCAGGTATCATTCCCTAGAAATCATATCAATTAAGAAATCAGAACTAAATCCTGGTATCATTCCCTAGAAATCATATCAATTAAGAAATCAGAACTTAATCCAGGTATCATTCCCTAGAAATCATATCAATTAAGAAATCAGAACTAAATCCTGGTATCATTCCCTAGAAATCATATCAATTAAGAAATCAGAACTAAATCCAGGTATCATTCCCTAGAAATCATATCAATTAAGAAATCAGAACTAAATCCAGGTATCATTCCCTAGAAATCATATCAATTAAGAAATCAGAACTAAATCCTGGTATCATTCCCTAGAAATCATATCAATTAAGAAATCAGAACTAAATCCTGGTATCATTCCCTAGAAATCATATCAATTAAGAAATCAGAACTAAATCCAGGTATCATTCCCTAGAAATCATATCAATTAAGAAATCAGAACTAAATCCAGGTATCATTCCCTAGAAATCATATCAATTAAGAAATCAGAACTAAATCCAGGTATCATTCCCTAGAAATCATATCAATTAAGAAATCAGAACTAAATCCAGGTATCATTCCCTAGAAATCATATCAATTAAGAATCAGAACTAAATCCAGGTATCATTCCATAGAAATCATATCAGTTAGGAAATCAGAACTAAATCCTGGTATCATTATTCCCTAGAATTCTTATTGATTGAAAAATCAGAGCTAAATCCAAGTATCATTCCCTAGAAATCTTATCGATTAAGAAATCAGAACTAAATCCAGGTATCATTCCCAAGAAATCATACCAATTTAGAAATCAGAACTAAATCCAGGTATCATTCCCTAGAAATCTTATCGATTAAGAAATCAGAACTAAATCCAGGTATCATTCCCAAGAAATCATACCAATTTAGAAATCAGAGCTAAATCCAGGTATCATTCCCTAGAAATCTTATCGATTAAGAAATCAGAACTAAATCCAGGTATCATTCCCAAGAAATCATACCAATTTAGAAATCAGAACTAAATCCAGGTATCATTCCCTAGAAATCATATCAGTTGAGAAATCAGAACTAAATCCAGGTATCATTCCCTAGAAATCATATCAGTTAGGAAATCAGAACTAAATCCTGGTATCATTCCCTAGAAATCATATCAATGTTATTTAAAAAAAAATCATAGAATAGTATACAACAAAAAACTGACATGTATTATCATTTTGCTAACACCATTATGTTGACAATGTAAGAACTTCTAACAAATGATCACGGCTTAATTAAGTGTTGTTTATAAAAACTGAAAATACAGAGACTTGCAGAAGACCAAGGAGCATGAATTGAAAAACTGGATGAAAGTACAAGGTGAAGAAATAAAAAAACACAAAGCTATTCCAAAACATTTTCTTTCTTCCAATTTTTATTTTTTCGATCACATATTAGAAGTTTTCTATTATCAGAAGAACACCATATTGTAAAATACACAAGTTAAAATATATAAATTACCATTATCTGACTGAAAGGTCCCATTTTCATAATGTTCTGGAACTGTTCATACATATCTCTTAATGTAAACTGACCTGGTAAAAAAAAATTAGGAAATATATAGAGTTATCTCCCCTTACTATATTTCATACAAGCAATACTGTATTGAAAACAAAGTATTAAACTATATATGAAACTACAAATATACACAATAACCATTTCAGTCATTTGTTTAATTGTCAATCAATGTGTCACTGTCATAATTAAATAAATATTTGTTTGTGTAAATTACTCTTTTTCATATGTAAATATCATTAAATTTTTATATGAAATTGACAATTTATAAAAGTATATAAAGAGAACATGACTCTTACTCAGTACATTGTACTTCTCCAATACTTGCTAATTGAGGCTACATACAGAGACCCAGTGTCTCCAAAAGCCTTGGGAAAAGTCCCCAGACCAAGGGCAGAAAGTGTCCAGCAGTAGATCACTGCATCCTGGCCCCAGTCCTCTTTACCAGCCGTGAGGTCCTTGGACTGAGCTGAGGATGGGTCAGGTGTTAGTCATAGCACAGTCATGCAAGTACTACCTAAGGGGTAGGAACTCAATGGGGCTTAGTCAGGGGAAGTGCAACCTTATTTTTAATATCAATATTTTTCATGATTTTCAACAGAAAAAATAATAGTCTAAACACTCAAAAAATGTAAGTATAAAACATTGAAAGTTCTCACAAATTTCCTTGGCTTACTTATGTTGTTGGATTGCTGTCATAAAGGCATATACCCTGCATCTCCTTTTACTCATTTCATAATCATGATAATATACTTTTTATTCATTGTATTACTGTGAAAACAAAATTACACTTATAATTTCTTTCTTTATACATATTTTCTTGCAACTTCCCAAGCATTGATATTATAGATTTCTAAAGGCCACACAGAAAATAATAACAGCCTCTGCAGAAGTAAAAAATAATACAATATCAGGTCAATGTCAGAAAAAATATCAACTTTTTTGTACAAGTTTTAGAAAGTGAGAAGGGCTAGATTTGCTGAGCAGTTTCATGCCAAATACAAAAAAAGTTGATATTTTTCCGACATTGACCTAACATTGTTTTTATACTGCAGCTAAAAACTGCTACACATATATTTATGAAAATGCTAACACAAAAATAAAACTTATCCCTTTGTTACTGGTAGATAAAGACTACAGGAAGTATTCTAGCTGCAGTATAAATAATGAAACTAGTGTTTTGTGAGGGCAATGCAGCAATTTGTTTACACATCTTTGTTCTTTTTCCAGCTTACGTCACGGTAAATTTTTTATCAATAAAATGGAAATTTCAGTATCAGAAAGATATCTTTTTAAAGAAAATTTGTTAGATAGAGCTTCCAAAAAAAATTTTCATTATTCATATTTTGGCATGTGCAAGATGCTTTTAAAATCTCAAAAAATTATGATGTCACAGTAATTTAAAGCAGACGACATGTCAGGTTGCAAGAAAATGTATATACAATTGGAAGATTTCCATTGTAAATTATGTTTGAAAATAAAGAGTACTGTAAATACAGAAATTATTGCGAGGGTTTTATTAATGCGACTGGGTGAGTATTGCAATAATAAGAACTCGCATTCTGATATCTGGTACATATATCTGTATATAGATTTTGCTGAAATCAAAATAATTGATCTCGCATTTTTGTCCATTCTTCAAAAATCGCAATAATAAATGCACCCAATGATTTTTGAATTTACAGTATCTGGATTGTAATCTATTTTCTCCATTATCAATTATAAAATACTCAAATGTTTGTAATCTTACCATGTTTTAACTTTTTCATTAGTTCTTCATTGTCATCAAGTTTTAATTCATTGACTTTGTCGATCAATCCCTCGATATCACCCATACCTATAAAATGCAATATCTTTATTTTAGCCATATATCCTACAGGCTGTAAAACATAGGAAATTAACTGAGGACTAAAATAATATAACAATATACAATAAAAGACCCATTGGTGGCCTTGGGCTGTTTTCTGCTCTTTGGTTGGCTTGTTGTCTTTTTGACACATCCCCCGTTTCCATTCCCTTTTCTATCTCATGTTTAAATAGAGGACATGTAATAAATAAATACGTAAAAGGCCTGCATTTGAAACAAATTCAGATGAAAACTAAGCACTTTAATAAGTGATTTCTCTCTTTTTTCAATTTGTGTCTCCCTGTTCTGAACTTTCTTTGCTACTTTTCTACTTTTATCCATTAAGCATGTTAAGCTTCATATAAAAATGGTCTTATCTATATTAAGTAAGATTTGACCTCTTTATGACCTCTATGAAAGGTAAAACAGTATTTAAAGTGTTTTGACAGTTTGTTTCTATATTTACAATAGCTACTAAAGAATTCATTTTTCAACTATTATAAACAATCAATCAAAACGTGAATGTTGTGCACACCCAACATGCTCAAGTAGTTTAGCTGAAACTCACCTAACAATTTACTGACAAAAGGCTGAACCTTAAATGGTTCAAAGTCATCAATGTGTTCCCCAGTACCTATAAATATCACAGGACTTTTTGTGGCTGCAACTCTGTAAAATAATGATAATACATTTCATGTCACCCATATTAAACACAATTAATCATTATTAGAAAGATCAAAAAATGGATCAATAGCAAATGTAAAATTTATTTTTTACAGGCATAGAAACGGGTAGAATGTGCGCCTCTGCTAAATATTTTTATCCTGTTTCCAGCCTCATACAATTTATACTTCCAGACAACTAATGATTGTTCTCTTTATACTGCAACTCTGTGTAATACAAATGAAATATTATATATTGACGTCATAAATATAACTCTATGGAAACACATTATCAAAGTCACAAACAAGTTTTTGTTATGGTCAGTGACTGTATATCAAATTAATATACAGTCAATGCAATTTGATTGCACAAACAGCACAGTAATATAATAGACAATATGCAATAAGTGATTTAAAACACAATACCATGCATCTACATTATACAATATACTTTACATAAAATTAACTTTCCAAAGATTTAACAAAGAATTTCCGTCACTATATAAAAGCAATAGCAATGTATGTATAATAAAATTGTTTGTGTTAAACCCATGAACCAAGTCAAGATTATCTGGACCATGTGTTGTTTGTGTTAAACCCATGAACCAAGTCAAGATTATCTGGACAATATGTTGTTTGTGTTAAACCCATGAATCAAGTCAAGATTATCTGGACCATGTGTTGTTTGTGTTAAACCCATGAACCAAGTCAAGATTATCTGGACAATATGTTGTTTGTGTTAAACCCATGAATCAAGTCAAGATTATCTGGACAATATGTTGTTTGTGTTAAACCCATGAATCAAGTCAAGATTATCTGGACAATATGTTGTTTGTGTTAAACCCATGAATCAAGTCAAGATTATCTGGACCATGTGTTGTTTGTGTTAAACCCATGAACCAAGTCCAGATTATCTGGACCATGTGTTGTTTGTGTTAAACCCATGAACCAAGTCCAGATTATCTGGACCATGTGTTGTTTGTGTTAAACCCATGAACCAAGTCCAGATTATCTGGACCATGTGTTGTTTGTGTTAAACCCATGAACCAAGTCCAGATTATCTGGACCATGTGTTGTTTGTTTTTATTTGTCTTTCTTTGTTTTCGAAATTTCTGTTTTCTGTTTTTATGTATAACTCGTGCGCAATGATTGGATTGATACCACCCATCTTGTAAACGATGCTGAACAATTATTACTTTCATTCCATATGTTCATTCATTTAATGTTATAAATATCAATGAAATGCACAGCCATATCAGACGAACAAAAATAAACGACTTTTTTTTTTACTGTCACTTACGCACTAAGAGCACCACCTCCTTTAGCATGGCCGTCCAGTTTGGTAATGATCACAGAAGCTACATCTACTTTCTCTTTAAAGGCTCTGGCCTACATAAATAAATTAACTGAATGTTAAAATGGATTTTTTAAATGAACATAATTTTGCTTATACCTTGCCCCCATCAATTTAAATTTCATATTTTATTACAAGCCAGTGGTCATCATGAACAGTGCTTTTTAAATTTGTTTTCCAGTCATGAAATTGAAATCAGGATTGAAGTCATTCAAACAAGAACACAATAAGTTTTTTACTTTTAGGTATTAAGATTTTCCAAAAAATATTTAATGCAAAAAAATGCATTGTCCTGTCAACTGCTTTAGTTAAATTTTGATTTCTCTGTTTTCTTCTTGAAATTTTTGTGCATTCTTACTTTCTATATCAATGTGCCCTGATCGTGTATTCAATGGATCATAAAAATTTATACATAACCAAAGTGTGATAAAATTTACCTGAGATTCACAAGCTTGTATAATGGTGGCATCCATTACAAATATAATATAAAATTTACATGAGATTCACAAGCTTGTCTGATAGTTACATCCATTACAAATATAACATAAAATTTACCTGAGATTCACAAGCTTGTCCAATGGTGGCATCCATTACAAATATAACATTATCAGGATCCTGTAAACAAAAAAAAAATGTATAATATCTTATTTGTAACACAGTAATAAAAGTTATGGTACAAGATTCCATAAAATTAACTTTCTTGATGAATTTCACACAAGCCCTCGATGAAAAATTATGACTTGATGGTAGATGTTTGATACCCTCTGTTAAGATTTAATTACAACTTTACATCCCTTTGGATGATGTAAAAATTTGCATATTTTTAGACACTTAATCTACTGTTGATTGGAATAAAGTGACATCTAGATATCTTTGTGTTGTTGGGCTGCTGTCTCGTACCGGTATACCCACCCATCTCATTTAATTCTTAGTCAATTAAACCCCCTTTGACTTGATCATTAATTAACAGTTTATTTTTAAAATCTCCTATGTTTATTCTCAGCCAAATATTTGCTGTAACGTTTTGTTTGATAAATCATGTGAAGTTTACTTTGTGACAGCTCTTGAAAGATCAATTTCAAACCAGTACATTTTTTTTTACATTATTTGAATTAACTTTTATTCCAAGCTGACCAGTGTTTACTCTTACTTCTAATTGCTGAAAGCATATCTGAGAAACAGAATATACCAATTTTTGTCTTTGGTCAGACATATCCAAACATTAAAACTATAAGCTCACATAATCAAGACTGAAAAATCACTGCAGTATGAAACTTTATTTCTGAATTGAAAACTTACAGTAACATTTGAAACTTGCAACATTTCTTCAAACAATGAATCTTCCTGTTTGTGACGACCACTCGTATCTACAATGATGATCTCAAAATTTTCGTCACGGAATTTATCTACACCTTCCTGTGCTATCACCACTGGGTCAATTTCTGTGTAACTGTAATTACAGAGAGCTTATTAAAACTTGTATTGTTACTATGATTGTATAAATCTCTTTTTGTTGCTTGTACAATTCATTAAATTATTGTTCCAAATCGTAGAGTTAAAGTAATCCCTTCTAAAGTATTATGGACCATAAAATGACTTGGTTGACCGCTATGGGATGTCTGTGTCACCATTTGGCATAGACACAATCACGTTCTCTTTTCTTTGATTGTTAAATCACACAATGTGACTAATCACTGAAGTTTTACTTGTCATGTCAGGTGCAACTAGTCCATCAGATATTGCTTTCCCTTCCGAAGCATTTGAGAGTACCCCTGGTTTTTGGCACATCTTTCCAAATCTTTAGTTTTCAATATAGTGTTTTGTGGATTGTTGTACCTCTGTCTTGTTTTGTTTTTTTGGCCATGATATTGTCTTTTTGACTCATAGTTTTTTTATTTTAAATACAAAATAATTACCTAAAAATGCTGATTTTTATTGTTGTATATTGTTTGTCTCATTTTATCTGTAAACTCTAAACTATTTAGGTGCTCTTCCAACATTCAATGATTTATAGACTTATTAAATTTTTCATTTTTTTAATGTAAGTTTTGTTTTTGAACAAAAGATGAAACAGGGGGTGTTAAATGTACTACATCCAAAATCTTAAAATACTTAGGTTGGATAGAGTTTTAAAGATTATTTTTCATGCCTCCAACATGACCAACCAATCATTGCTCTTTTTTTTTCTGTTTCCAATGGTATTGTAATACTTTTTTCTTATCATCAGTTCATTAAACATACCTTCCATAAAATGGAATCCTTGCTTTTGTAGCATTCTGTTTCAGCTGATCAAAAGCTCCAGCACGAAATGTATCGGCACAAATTAAACATGTCTTCCATCCTTTCTTCTGGTAATAATACGCCAACTGTAACAAATACACTAGGCTTTATCATACAATTGCTAACTGATTGATATTTTCCAAAATTGCAAATTCAAACCTAAAAATTACTGAATGCAACAGAACATGCACTAGACGTTCTAACAATAATAATAAAATATGTGCAATGGGAAGAAAAAAACAAATATCTATTTTATATACATCATGTAAATTGACACTATTTTCTTCCCATTGCAAACATTTTATTATAATTGATAGAACATCTAGTGCTTGTGGCAAAAGGTATAAAAGATTTACAATTGTTATATCCAAAGAAAAATACCACTTTATAAATATCATGCTTCCAAAGAACTTTTCTAGATTTAGATCCAAGTTTACTGGGAAGTTTTGTGGCTTGTGTTTTGTTCTTTTGAAAATTTTAAATAAACAGACCTTAAACACTTACTTTAGAACATGTTGTAGTCTTTCCACTTCCCTGTAAGCCTACAAACATGATGACATTACTACGACCTTTGGTTGGCGTCCATTGTTTCACTCCAGGATCAATCAACTGTAAAAGTAAGCATTAGATGTAATTAAAATCATGTTTAAGATAAACAATTAGCGATAGAGTTCACATAAAATAAATTAATAAATTTTTATAAAATGATGAATATTCAACCAAATACTGATTATACTTTTGGCTTAATTTGGAGATATAATCCACTTCTTATTAGCTAAATCACTTTGACACTAGCCTTAGAGAGATTTTAACAAAATCATTCCATGAGAAAACTACCAATAAAAAACATACATGTACCTTAACATCATTTGAGAACCTTTAACCGCACATTGAACCTAAATGTTGACGACGCTGAAAACAGAATGTAGGATCGTCTCCCTTCCACCAGTCAGGGGACTTACTTAAATGAATGATTTCTAAATCACTGATTCAAGTAACATTTTGTCCACAAATGTTGGAAGTAAGAGTTGTCTTTCTTTAATAATCACCTATTTAAGTAGTACAAATAAATCACTAGACTAAGTGATTCAATTTTATTCTAGCTTTAAATATACAATACTAATGACCAGGGACTAATCGTGTTGCTAAAATTATCAAAACCAACATCTGTGTTGATAGGATGACCGGTAATGTCAGGTGATGACCTTGTACTGAATCTGAGATAATGACATGAAAATCACTTGTTTAAGTATCATACCTCTATTTTCTTACAAAAAATCACTTCTTTAGGTATTATTATTTTAATTACCCCCACTAATTTCAACACCCCCGAACAGTGAAATTTTGATCACGAACAGTAAAATTTTATTACATAATCTGTAAGATGAAACCTTGAATTTTACAGGAAAAATACTCCCACTGCTGGAAAAAATCAGTTAAGAAAGTATCAGTTCATTATGTAAAGCCTTTATTATAGCATTTTTTCAACAAATATAGAATTTACAGCCGAATGATTACATCAAAGGCATAAACCTTGCTACTTAAAAGAAGCAAAAGTTCATTTTTTTCTATTTTATTAATAATAAGATATAATCTAAGCCTATATATGTTTAAAATTTTGGTACTTTCGAATTTGCTACTTAAATAAGTGATTTTATAAATCACTTATTTCAGTAATTTCCCTGACTGTCCACAACTTATGTCGCAGGCTGGACAAAAGACAAAAAACATGTCCCTTAAAAACTGACCTTGATAACATACAAGTATCCCATACAAATCTTACCTTGACAAGTTCCTTATACACAGCAGACTGGATCATTCTTCTTTTGTTTAACCCTCCTGCCATTTCATCAAAATCAATAACAGATCTGAAACATAATATTCCATCAAATCATTTACTCATTTACTAACACGGAGCAATGTTGAGTAAACTGGTAAAAAGGGTGTTTTTGACAAACTTCTGCCAGAGAAAAGATATCAAAATCAGTCTCTGTAATAAATTGTGTGCATACCGACATGACCGATGATTCCAACAATTTGAAAAATCATATACAAGTAAAGGTGAAATAGCAGTGTGTTGAACAGAAAGCTGGTTGCTGGGTTGTTATACAACTACTGTAGATTCATTATTATTTGTTGGATACCAATTTTCGCGGATTTCGTGGTAACCCGGGAACCAAGAATTCAAATGTACAACGAATTACTAATTTTCTATAAGAATGTATGAAGACTTTGGCAAAACCACGAAATCAAATATCAAGGAAAATGCAAGTTTTCCGTAATCCATGAAAATTGGTACCCACGAAAATAAATGAATCCACAGTATATGCCTATCCAACATATATGAATAACTTTGTACATGTATCTGTATATTCTAAATACTCATCAACTGTTATAAAATCTATTGAAATCAATTGTTATTACCATGATAACTTTTTAGTGTTATTGCATTAATATGTGTAGAGATTAATCCATGCTTGTACATGTATGTCATGTGATGTTATTTACAGACTTAAATTTTGGTCTAAAAAATGTCAACATGTATCCTTAAACATGTTAAAGATGTAAATGTAGTCAACAGACCGCTGCAATGGTCAATTGAAAGTTACATTACCTGACATTTTCTCTCAACCGTTTGACTAGGAATATGTTGACATCAGCCTCCAACAGAGCTGCACATATCTCCTTAAGCATGCCATTTAATACCTGAAAACACATGAACATGATGAATGAACAAAAAAAAATTGTTTCTTATTTTTATGGAATTTAAAAATTATCAACAATTATATGAATTTATAACCTTTATTTATCAAATAACTTTTACTTTGTCTGCACCATGACCCAGTTCAAACTAGGTTTCTTATTTATCATGTTTATCTATATATACATGGTAGTGTGATAGCCTCAAGTGCTGGATGTCAAGGGTTGAATCCCTGACCATCATGACCACGTCAAACCAAAGACTTGAAAATTGATATTTGCTGCTTCTATGCTTTAGAAGCACACACCATTAGGGAGTAAGAGCAAAGACTGGTCATTCCAGAGTCAAAATAATGTGTCTGGGTAGGGTGATATGTCTTAATGCAGACTGTTACCTTGTGAACTATATCTATAGCACATAAAAAATTTGGCTCAGCCTTTTAGTCTAGTACAAAGCAGGCCTTGGGTTCAAATTTAATATCATATTGAAATGTTCTAGTCCTGAATGTACATTTAACTTGCCACTGGACATTAAGCACCCATCAACCATCCATTTTCTATATAACCTACATTTTTACCTACATCATATACATGTACCTGTACTCATCTCAATCATTCTGATATAACAATTAATAAATTTGATGTGCCCAAAGCTCTTTTCTGGTTTTATCATGTTTATAGTATACCTTTAACAGTTTAAATGTCAATGATGTATAAGTACTTGATTGCATGAAGAGTGGTACAGATGTCCAGCTGGGGTTTAGAAAACACCCCCATTCATATGGATATCATTCATGATCATTATCATATATTTCATAGGAAAATCACAATCCATTTCAGTGGCGGATCCAGAAATTTTCATAAGGGGGCCTACTGACTGCCATAAGAAGGGCCCCGCTCCAGTCATGCTTCAGTGGTCCCTAAATAATTAACCAATTTTTTCCCCAAAATAAGGGGGGGGGGGGGGGGCGGGCACCCTGGGCCCTCCCCCTAAATCCGCCTCTGCATTTACATATATTTCCTAGCTAACATGACATCTTCAACCTCATGGGATCATTCATATTATTATGTGAAAAGATCAGATCAAAAGTATCTTAAAAGAAGATGAACATTTATTACGGCCATTGACATGTACAAATTCCTACCCATTGCCCATTGATATATTACCTCCGTGAAATTGCACCCCATTGATATAATTGACATTCCAAAAAAGTGAACTATACCAGCGGCACGTCTGTGTATAACTTTTTTACAGGAAGAGACCCCCCACCCCCCTTGTAATTATTTTACTTGTTACTTAACGTCTCTTTCTAAAAACAATTGTATTTTCCTCCCTTTATTATAAGAAAAACTATGGCTGAAACGACTTTACGAAGTATGGCACAACTGACAATGTGGCTGACCATGGATAAAACGTCTTGCATTGAGGATATCGTTGTTTTAGACTTCTACCAATTACAAATGTACCTGTATGCTAAGTATAAGCCTCTTTTCATTAGGAGCACCACCATAAGTTATGGTATAAAGGATGACATTTAGCACACTCTATCGGCACAGATTTAATGTAGCATTTGCCTTCACAGTTCCCCAGCATGGCTGTGACGGGACTAACTTCCCAGTTCCCCAGCATGGCTGTGACGGGACTTACTTCAGAAACCCTTACTTACCAGTTCCCCAGCATGGCTGTGATGGGACTTACTTCCTAATTTCCCAGCATGGCTGTGACGAATTCTAGACAGTTCGGTACCCAGACAAATCGGCATCCGGACAAATCGGCACCCGAGAAAGACATTTCAGCACCCAAACAAATCGGCACCTAGACAAATCGGCACCCAACATAGACAAATCGGCACCTTATAAAGATAAAATCAATTATTTTATCCTTGATCATAATATAGTGAACCAAAAATTAAAATTACCTGGCACTGATATATGTATGTGGGCATGAACTCAATTTACAAGTTTAGTGTTAATATAGCAATTATGTTCGACTGTTTTTACTAATTACCAATTTGATTCCTGCACTATTTATGACATTATTGTCAATATTGTATATGGTATCTTCGAAGAAGTACATGTATCTGATGAAGTGGTTTATTCTTTTTGTAATTTATTTGTGAAGACTGTACTGCTGCATAGTCATTTGGATAGCTGTCTTATTTGTGTGTATTCTTTTTCCTTGTACCTGAACATCTATTTTATAGATTTCACCATTCATGTACTAGTTTTAATGTAAATTAAATGCAGAGTTCTATTCCGATAGTATTCTTAATCAATAAAACACATGTAGCATATTAATAATATTTATTTATTATAATTATGGTAAAAATTGTAATGCACAGATTTATAAGCTGGACAAACAAGAACAATATAATATTCATCTCCAATAAGACACATATTAATGTAACGACCAACTTCAACTTCAACATTTAACTTTTATGGTTCACTACATTATATTGTTAACAGACAAACGTTATTGTTATAAGTGAGATATTTTTCGATACATAAGGTTTATTTTTTAGTTCTACTATATATAGTGTTGTTTTTACAGATGTAAGGATCAAACGAGAACACAAGCTGCAAACGCAAGCTAAACACTTTTGATCTCTATTGAGAAATTATCAGATTTATACATACAATACTGGTTAATGCATAACTACAATTAGTTATGATTTAATTAAATGATGTTTATTCAAACACCAACATATCTAACAATCAATTATGATTTAATTAAATAATGTTCATTCATACACAATCATTTAGGGTTTAATTAAATGATGATTATTTTTTTGTAATGCATATTTTATCTACGGATTATAATATTACTGTAACAATCCTTTTATTTTTCCTAATATATATATAAAATAAAAATGAGGTGCCGAATTGTCTTGGTCCCGAAATGTCCGGATCCCGAAATGTCCAAAATGGATGCCGAAATGTCTTCGGACTTGGGTGCCGATTTGTCTGGGTGCCGAAATGTCATGTTACCGGCTGTGACGGGACTTACTTCCAGAAAGTTAATCATGTTAAAATCTTACCTCTTCATTTATGATTGTAGCATTGCTGAGAGATTTCAGTGCTGAGGTAATTTTCCTCCCTAAATCTGCAAGAACCATGACTGTTTCTTTAACTGTTTAGAAATTTCAAACTGGTATTTTTCTCTGATGTAAGACTTTATTGCACAATATGGAAAGTTTCCAGATATTTCTGCAAAAAATAAATGCACTTCCGAAATATTTGAAAGAAAGCTTTCTTGTAACTTTAAGTTGTATAATAATCTTTATATTTGTGCATCTATATTTTCATCTGAAAACCAATGAATGTTTCATTTGTGTCATTTTGTCCAGTTTTCGTTTCTCTCAGTCTCAATTTTGACACGTTTAGCAACAGTTACTTCCCCTTATCGACCGGTGTCTAATGACTTTTTTTCTTGCTAAAATTAACCACTTAGTAATAAGTTTCTTACACAGTAAATGAGTTTCTAAATAAATAAAAATGATAGAGAGAAACATTAAATCATCAATCATAATAATTTAAATAACCTCAATAATTTTTAATTTTGAAAAGTAGGTGGAATTTCGTTTCCGGTCGAAATTTACGATGCACTAAATAAAGGGGAGAGTACTCAAACTATATGCCATGAGATCAATTTCGAGTACTTGAAAAAATATCCTTGATGAGATTATGAGTCTTTAAACAATAATTCAACATGGTAAATAACAATATTTAGCTTTTTATGATATTTGGTGTCAAAATGGATAAAAGACATGTTTGATTGAAATTTTGCACAATAATTGATAACATCAGTCATTATCAGCTGACTGAGGATGTTGATATTTTTTTATTACATCTCAGACTTAAATCATACAGTTGTATTGACTATCAATAATAGTTATAGTTTCCATCATCATATATTCGTTCTCTTCAAGCATTAGAATAGCTACTGTGATCCAGCGTTCCATAGAATTACACAAAACACCGTATCACATAACTTATACTTATAGGAAGGTGCTCCCTGAAGCGCTCTCTGATGTTTATTGGTTATAATCATGTTTGTTTTACTTGTCAATGTCCTCATACTTTCTACAATCACCGAATCAGATATCTATTATCAAGTTATTAGTCAGATGCTCACCATGTACTTCAATTCAATTTTCAATTTCCATATTATTCTTTTCACAGCAATATACATTGTATATGGATGGATCATTTGTTTTGTGTTGATCCAGCCCAAGTTAGGGTATTTTGAAGTCCATGGAAAATTGCCTTCTCATGTTATCATGGTTATAATAAGCATAGAATATGTCATGAAAGAATTATTTCTTTAGTAGTAATGTTTTTGAGTTTTTGAATAGGATTCAAAAGAAAATGTGGAATAGATATACATTTTAAAGACCCAACAACAAATTTACAAATGTATCTTCTGTAAATTCAAAAATCATGGAATGCATGTATTATTGCGATTTTTGAAGAATGGACAAAAATGTGAGATTAGTTATTGCAATTTCAGGAAAATCTGCATACAGCTATATATGTATCAGATATCAGAATGCAAGTTCTCATTATTGCGATACTCACCCAGTCACATTATTTGCATTATTATAAACCTCACAATAATTTCTAAATTTGCAGTCATTTATTGCTGCACAACTTTAACTATATATGTACACTTTGAAATAGGACATGTAGGATATACTCAACACATGCTCAAGTTTGTACTTAAATCTAACACAAGTACTTTTCATTATTGGAAAACATTATTATTATAACATTAAATATTATAAACTATAATTGTTTAATAACAAACTGTTTGATCTTATAACCACATTTCTAAATAAACAGCTGAAGCCCGCCTCAGGTTGCAGGATTTTCTCGCCGTGTTGAAGACCCATTGATGGCCTTGGGCTGTTTTCTGCTCTTTGGTCAGGTTCTTGTCTTTTTGACGCATTCCCCGTTTCTATTCTCAATTTTATGTTTTCATAATAAATATTGATCATGATATTTGAATCATTTGATAGTTAATTCATTTTGTCCTTCTTTTTTCAGGTTTCTAAGAAAGTTCTTGAGTATATGCGATATTTTTTTCGTATCTTGTTTATCACTATTGCTAACCTGATAGCTATCCCAGCATACATTGTGTATGCCTTGCTTTTGTATCCTATAAAAAAATATTACCCAGAATTCTACTGGACACATGTAGAGCCACGTCTGTTTCAAGCACTGTTGGGAATGGTAGCGAGCTGGTTGTACTCAGGAGGATATAAAGGTATATTTTATAATGATAATTTTTGTAATAAATTGATGTGATTACATTCCATGTTAATTGATTGTAATTTTTTACAATTGCTCAATGGGTTTTTTCTTCCATCAGTTGTGACAAAACAAGGAAAATATTGAATTCATGAGCCGGTGGATTCTTTATTATTTGTGGGATACCAATTTTCGTGGATTTCGTTGGTAAAGGTGAAGGACAAATTTAAATGTTCAAAGTACAAATTTCCTAAAGAGATATAAGAAGATGTGGTATGAGTGCCAATGAGACAACTCTCCATCCAAGTCACAATTTATAAAAGTAAACCATTATAGGTCAAAGTATGGTCTTCAACATGGAGCCTTGGCTCACACCAAACAGCAAGCTACAAAGGGCCCCAAAAATGACTAGTGTAAAACCATTCAAACAGGAAAACCAACGGTCTAATCTATATTAAAAACGAGAAACGAGAAACACTTATGAACCACATCAACAAACGATAACCACTGAACATCAGGTTCCTGACTTAGGACTTATATACATGATGGCAAAACCACGAAATCAAGTAAATATGAAAATACAATTCTTCCTCTATCCACAAAAATTGTTGCTACGAAAATAATTGAATCCAAAGTATTCCATAATTGGCAAAGTAAAGGGTCAATTAAGAATTCATTATTGGGATGTCATTGTTTAGAGACTGGAAGTAATACAACATCAAGGATTGAAGCTGAAGTTTTGAATTGAAATTGAAAGAAGTCAAATTGGATTGACTTACATGAGACCAGAGACCTATGAAATACTAGTAAATTATTAATTTGGTAGGTAACAAGGATTTAGATGTATTAAATGCATGACATGCAGGTGACACAATAACAAAATGGCTGTTCTTCCCAATGCAGAACCTCACCATTATCATTTTGGTCAATTGAAAACTCATTTCATGACTTGCAATTGTAATAATTTCCAAACACTTAATGTTCTCAGTCTCTTGTGGAATTTAGAGGTGATTTATCAATATACTGGTACTTAATTAAGAAGCCTAAGTAATAGTGAATTACCTGTCCACATTAATTTACCATGTTTAATATGGCAATTATGATAACTTTTAAATGAAGTCTTTACCTTTAACCACTACCCCTATGCCGAGACTAGTAACATTGGTTCTTTCTAGTAAAAATGAAATAGCAATTTGTTTAGACTAATTGAAAAACTCTTAAGCTGGGGTTTCAGGCTAGTTTGTTAAAACAGTTTTTAGTGCAGACTGGCTGGTTTTTTTTTGTAAATTTTTTATGCTTTGTTTTTTGTATGTAAATTTTTTATGCTATGTTGTATTTTTGGGAATTTAACAATACTATTTATGATGTTTATATGTTTTTAATGCTGTTTTCAGTGATAGAATCAGGGGATGATTTAACCAGCATACTAGACAAAGAAGCGTTGGTTTTAGTAAATCACCAATCCACGTCTGATGTACCGATTTTAATGAGTAGTATGTACCCAAAAGGTCTGGCATGTGGATCAATGACTTGGGTCATGGACTATATTTTTAAATTTACGAACTTTGGATGGATATCCTACTTCCATGAAGATTTTTTTATATGTCAGGTAAGTTGAATTCATACTTGATCCAGGGGTCTGAGGTTAACAAGTACAATGGATTTTATTTTGGAATATTGGGATCTTATTTTTGTGTGACCACAAATTTTTCAAATGTAATATAATAATGATAGATTGAATGTTTATAATATCTTAGCAAATAATTTCATCCTGTTAGAATTTCTTTCTGATGTTTTTGAAATTTTAGTAGGAAAATCCTATTGTATCTATCTGAAATTTCTGTAGAAAATTTTTGAATTTTTCATCCCCTGATGTGTATGCAGTACACAGACGATGAATAAGTAAAAAAATCAGTAATGTTGGCATGATTTGATTAATGTTACTATAAAGGAGCTTGCTGGGATGGATAATGTAAAAAATAAGAGGATGTGTTATGATGCCAATGAGACAACTGTCCACAAGAGACCAAATGACATATATGTAGGCAACTATAGGTCACAGTAAGGCCTTCAACAATGAGCAAAACCCATATATATGATAGTAAACTTTCTGGTCCAGACAAAATTTTAAACAAATTAAACAAGAAAAATCAAAGATGTCATATATATTCAACATGAATATAGATATTTTCAGTGTGTATCACAACGATCCCCAATATAATGATTTTAAACTGAATAACCTTGATTGTCATGATTGTATTGTATCATACACATCAGGTAAGACCAAGAGGCTATTTAAAATGCTTTGTGTGTTGCCTTGTTACAACTAAATATCATCATTTAGAGGAATTATTAATACACCTGCTACCATTGCTACTGTTCAAAATTATTTTGGATAATTTGGATCAAAGTTTTAAAGAATTAATATATATACCCGAGAAAGATTTAACTCTAACTGAATTAAACTTTATTCCCATATTTCATGTTTTCCAGGGCAAAGATGGTAGAGATAAAGAACTAGTTAAATTAAAGAAGCACATGTTAAATTCTTACCTGCCGACAGGTAAAAAATGGATAGTTGTGTTTCCTGAAGGAGGATTTCTGTACAAACGCAAAAAATCAAGTCAACAGTAAGTATGACATATGACAACAAATGGAATATAAATTAAAAGCTGTCATGTGATTGCCAATGAGACAACTTTCCACTAAAGATTATAGGATGAAGATGGTAAACAACTATATCATGTATATACATTGTAGGTCACTGTACAGCCTTCAACAATGAACAAAACCCATACAGTATAAGTATAGTAAGCTATAAAATGCACACAACATAAGAAAATTTAAAACAATTCAAACATGTCAAAAGAGAAAACTAATGGCTTGATTTATGCTAAAAACAATATAAAAGAAAAACAAATATGGCATTGGATTACAGGCTTGTTTGGCGAATTTTTGTTTCAGGATATTGTTGGTTTTCTAAAATTGTTTAACATTTCACAGCGGTATGATACTGTTACTTTAATTATTCATCCCTTATTTTATTGATTTTGTATTTACATTGTATCATAGATCAAATTTATTTGTTCAGTGTATGTTCACTTGTGTTAATATGTCTTTTGATTGAGTTAAGCCATTTCAATTGATATTTTATTGTGTGTCTTTCTATGTTGTGATGTTAAACTATTGTTTCAGATAAGGGTGAAGGTTTGGTACCATTTAAAAGTTTAAACCTGCTGCAATTGTTTGCACCTGTCCTAAGTCAGGAATCTGATGTTCAGTAGTTGTCGTTTGTTGATGTGGTTCATAATTGTTTCTCTTTTTTATATAGATTAGACCGTTGGTTTTCGTGTTTGAATGGTTTTACACTAGTAATTTTATGAGCTTTGGATAGCTTACTGTGCGGTGTGAGCCAAGGCTCCGTGTTGAAGGCCGTACTGTGACCCATAATGGTTTACTATTATAAATTGTGACTTGGATGGAGAGTTGTCTCATTGGCACTCATACCACATCTTCTTATATCTATTGTGACTGGAGACAGACACATAGAGAAAGTGATGGGTTTAACTTGTCTGTGATCACTCAACCTCCAACTAACCTGGGAAAGTAGTGCAACAGCACAACATGAAAAAAAGTCTATGGGCCACAGATGCCCCTGCTTGTAAATATGCATGAGTCAACTTCCACTTACCGATGCAGGATTCACGTAGTTAAGACCATTTTGTGATAAGAAGCATTGTGTATAAGTGTCATAACATTTGGTTGAGGCAAACTAAAGTTAGAAAACGGAAATAACAGATTTAGCAATTTTTCCATTTATAAAGGGGCATAACTCAAGAACGGTAAAAGTGACACCACCCAATTTCAAACTTGATCTGTGTTTTGTGGTAATTAGCATTGTGTATAAGTTTCATAACATCTGGTTGAGGCAAACTAACATTAGAGCACGGAAACTAAAAATTCAGCAATTTTTTCATTTATAAAGGGGCATGAACGATAATAGTGAACTTGATCTGTGTATTGTGCATTGTGTATAAGTTTTATAACATTTGGTTGAGGCAAAATAAAGTTGGAGAACTGAAACCAATTTTGGGGACGTACACCACTGACGAGACGGACGGACAGACAGGACAGATGGACAAGGGTAACACTTAATGCCCCCTCTGCTACGACAGGGGCATAGAAATTAGAATAAAATTGAGAATGGAAATGGGGAATGTGTCAAAGAGACAACAACCCGACCACAGAACAGACAACAGCAGAAGGCCACCAACAGGTCTTCAATGCAGCGAGAAATTCCCGCACCCGGAGGCGTCCTTCAGCTGGCCCCTAAACAAATATATATACTAGTTCAGTGATAATGAACGCCATACTAAACTCCAAATTGTACACAAGAAACTAAAATTAAAAATAATACAAGACTAACAAAGGCTAGAGGCTCCTGATTTGGGACAGGCGCAAAAATACGGCGGGGTTAAACATGTTTATGAGATCTCAACCCTCCCCCTATACCTCTAGCCAATGTAGAAAAGTAAACGCATAACAATACGCACATTAAAATTCAGTTCAAGAGAAGTCCGAGTCTGATGTCAGAAGATGTAACCAAAGAAAATAAACAAAATGACAATAATACATAAATAACAACAGACTACTAGCAGTTAACTGACATGCCAGCTCCAGACTTCAATTAAACTGATTGAAATCAGTTTTGAAGGAGTTTCTCAGAAGTTTGTTTAATTTCGTGTTAAATGAATTAATCCATCAATGATTATGTGCATGTATTTTCTTTTCTGTATAATTAATATTGATTAATATGCCTTATGCATGTTATGTTGGCCCTATAATTTGGAATACATATATAGAAATTTATATTTGTAATAATAATTCATATGTTTAATTTAATACTGAATGCTTTAATATATAATTACAGGTATGCCAAGAAACATAATTTTCCCGTGTTAGAACATGTGACACTGCCTAGAATTGGAGCAGTCAAGGTCATAACAGATTCATTATATCATGATACTCTACAGAATGGAGTGAAAAAAGGTAATAACAATTCCTTCAATAGTTCACTTAAAATAAGATCAACAAGAAATTAATTTGTTTGTATAGGGTCTTGACACTTAAATTTGTCAGCAGGTTGTAAAAAGTAAAATAAACTCCAAGGGAAATTCAAAATGGAAAGTCCTTTATAAAATGGCAAAATCAAAAGTTCAAACACATCAAACAAATGGAAAACTACGGAAGCCTTTTAGGGCCATGCTAATTTACTTTTTACAACTTGATATAACAAATTATCAATTTGATTTAACAAATTATTAATTTGATATAACAAATTATCTATTTGATATAACAGATTATCAATTTGATATAAGAGTTTATAATTATTTGATATAACAATTTATGAATTTGATATAAGAAAGAAAATTTGATATGTCAAATTTCTTATGCATGGATTGGGGTTATCCCCTTTCTTTATTTGACATAAAGGATATATAAGTGAAACGCTTAAACTGTATAGAGATATAGACCTAAATGTTTTTTGCATTGCTCATGATCTGAAATCCTTATTCTATATATACAACGTTATTAATGTGCTCAGATTATACTCGTGTGGTCTTTTTTAACAGAATTTTGAAAGTCCACAATCATTCAAAATCTCACGCATGTTTCTTTATTTTTAATAAAAAAATCCAAATCAAAAATATATGTTGAAACAAATTTATTTAAGACAAATGCAGTGATGAATTGAAGGATGTTTAATAAATCCAGTCATGTTCCTATTGAAATTATCAAAGCAACATGCCTGGTTTTTTTAAGAAGGAAAAGCATTTTTTTATCCTTGCATGTTCCTATGTTCCTAAAAACACCAACGTAATCTATGTATTACTGGTAAATTATTAAGCCAGGGATTTCGTTACCGCAAATTACTTAAAACATTTACTAAATTCTTCCACAGATATAAAGATTTGGTTTTGATGTTTGGTTGTACCTGTAGAAAACTTATTTCAAACCGGATTGCACATCCTCATTTTTACGGCAATATTGTTTACCGTGCCCGGAAATTTAGAAACGATCCTGGTAAACTTATCGATCCTTTAAATAAACTTATTCTTAAAGGTTACCAATTCAACACTGTAATTAGATCATTAAATATTGTTTTTATTGGTACTAATATTGATTTTGTTATCAGTAAATTAAAAGCAAACTAAATATTATTGTTATATACATATACACATTCATAGATCTACAATCTGTCAATACCTGTATCTTGGCATTGCACAAGGTCATGTTTTTCTCTGACTGTTTATGACGTCTTTACACTAAATCCATTGGATGTTGGATATGTACGGATTGATAATATAAGTTGTTAGTGGCTTTGAACTAGCTGTCAGTAACTACTCTCAGATCTGTACTTAGTGTCTTTTTGTTGTTTGGGTGTACAACTACCCGGCCACGTCCACTTGTGTTTGTAGTATTTGTATTTTATCCATCTGATGAGTTAAGCCTCTTTCAACTGATTTTTATAGTTCGTTCTTATATTGTACTGTTACACCACTGTCCCAGGTTAGGGGGAGGGTTGGGATCCCGCTAACATGTTTAACCCCGCCACATTTTGTATGTATGTGCCTGTCCCCAGTCAGGAGCCTGTAATTCAGTGGTTACATATTTGTTTTTCGTTCATTTTTTGTACATAAATTAGGCCGTTAGTTTTCTCGTTTGAATTGTTTTACATTGTCATTTCGGGGCCTTTTATAGCTGACTGTGCGGTATGGGCTTTGCTCATTGTTGAAGGCCGTACGGTGACCTATAGTTGTTAATTTCTGTGTCATTTGGTCTCTTGTGGAGAGTTGTCTCATTAACAATCATACCACATCTTCTTTTTTTATATATACCAACATCTCAATAGAACTCTTCGTTTCGCTTTGACTTGAAAATATGCAATATAAATTGATCAAAAAGTTCCCCCTTTTCTCTTTTATATTTAATGTTCTAAAGCACCAGATCCCATGTGCGAAATTGAGAAACTAGTCCCGAAAACTGTCTCAAATAAAGGGGAAAGGAGAGGAGGGTTGGTTATAGAAACATTAAACCTGTAAATTAAGTTTTGAAAATGCATTAGATATTTGTCACTGGACGTCAGATAAACAATCAATTAATACACGAAATGCGCCAGTTCGGGTTATGCAACTTTTTATTAATCGTTATTATGATAAAATCATACTATTTGTAGAGAAATTCACAATTTGTTATATCAAATTAATAATTTGTTATATCAAATAAATAATTTGTTATATCAAGTTAATAGTTTGTTATATCAAATTAATAATTTGTTATATCAAATTGATAATCTTTTTTATCAAAATTGAAAATCTGTTATATCAAATTGATAATTTGTTATATCAAATTCATAATTTGTTATATCAAATTCATAATTTGTTATATCAAATTGTAAAAAGTGAATTAACATGGTCCTAAAAGGCTTCCGTAGAAAACAACTGTCATATTCCTGACTTGGTACAGGCATTTCCTTATGTAGAAAATGGTGGATTAATTATAAATAAGAAGATGTGGTATGAATGCCAATGAGACAACTCTCCATCCAAGTCACAATGTGTTAAAAGTAAACAATTATAGGTCAAAGTATGGCCTTCAACACGGAGCCTGGTTTTATAGCTAGCTAAACCTCTTCCATTATATTAACAACAATGTGTGAGCAAAACATACAGACATAATAGGTCAAAATGTCAAAAGTTGGGGTACAGCAGTCAACATTGTACAGTCAGGGGAATTACTTAAATGAGTGATTTCTTAAATCACTGATTCAAGTAATATTTTGTCCAGAAATGTTACTGGACAAATGTTACAAGTAAGAGTTGTCTTTCTTTAATAATCACCTATTTAAGTAGTACAAATAAATCACTGGACTAAGTGATTTAATTTTATTGTAGCTTTAAATATATCATATAATTGATTCTGGGACTAATAATGATGTATCCAACATCTGTGTTTATAGGATGACCCTGTACTGAATCTGGGATAATGACATGAAAATCACTTGTTTAAGTATCATACCTCTATTTTCTTTCAAAAATCGCTTCTTTTAAATATTTATTTAATTAAAATTAATGTAAAATTTTGCTCGCAACCAGTAAAATTTAATTACATAATCTGTAAGCTGAAATCTTGAATTTTACAGGAAAAATACTCCCACTGCTGGGAAAAATCTGTTAAGAAAGTATTAGATCATTATGTAAAGACTTCATTATAGCATTTTTTTCAACAAATTTAGAATTTACAGATGAATGATTGCACCAAAGGTATAAACATCCCTACTTAAAAAGAAGCAAAAGGTCAATTTTTTTTTCAATTTTACTATCATTATTTATAATCTAAACCTGTATGTTTAAAATTAGGTAAAACCGACTGTTGTAATATAATTATTGGTAATATTGACACACTTTGGTTGAATTTATCACAAAAATGGTATCAACTTAAAAAATTTAGCCCAAAATTCAAATTGCTTTTTAGAATCTTGGTGATGCCATTAAGCACAAGAATAATATATAATATGGATGTATGATACTTATTTCATTGCACTGGGGGAGTCAAATATATTGAACACAAGAATACCTAGTCAAAGGTACAATCAACAAGTTTAAAAGATAAATTTAAAAAAACTACAAAGGGGTTTTAACATGACAGACTAAAGCATAAGAATGTTAACAAAACACCATAAAGCATCTCTAAAACATTTTAACTTTTGATTTAGTGCAAAAGAGTTGAAACTTTCAAAAATTAATTTATAAATTGTTGTATAGAGATTAAATTACAAATTCATACATGTATAGGTAGTGCATTGAAAATATGCTTATAATAAATTTTTTTTAAATGTAGAAAGTTCAGTTCCTGCCAAGAGAAAGCTGAAATGGGTAATAGACATAACCATTGGTTACCCTGATCGAGATTCATTAAGTTTCCCGGGAATGATGGTGGGAATATTTTCTCCACGTCATATAAACGTTCACTACCGTGCCTATCCAGTTACAGAAGTACCACACGATTCAAACCATTTACAGACATGGTTATATGACAGATATATTGAAAAAGAAGAATTACTGGAACTGTACTACAACAAAAAGACATCTATGAACCATACAGACAGACAGACACGACATCTCCCAAAATTGTCAGAACAAGAAATAAAAGTAGATTATTATGGAATCGTCTTCATACATATATTTTACTTCATATCTTCTTATGTATTCTGGCATGCTATATATTTACATCTCTTCACAGTCATTGGTTTTTGTTTTAGTTTAATATTTTGAAATGCAGTCATTTGATTGGTTGGTGCTTTATTTTATTGTTATTAATATCTGTGTTGAGTTTTTAGAGATTTATGTAGTTTTTGTTAAATTTGATTTGTTTTGAGTACTTTTCAGGTGCTTAAAGAAAATTTGTTTTTTATGTTACTTTTGTTTTATAGCTATAACAAATTAAACCATTTTATTGAACAATGTAGATTTAATTATGTATGTATAAATGTTTTCATTTGAATTATTTGTTCAAAACTGTACTTGCCAAGTACTTAGTGATTTATTTTTTACCTTATTCTTGCTTTTATATTTGTTAACTTTTTATTTTAAAAATCCCAACTCTAAACATGCTATATTTTGTTGAAGATGAAGGAAGGGGTCCACTGAAAAATATTGCCATAAAAGTCAAAAATCAGGAAAGTACTAAGAACCAAATTTTTTGGCAATAAGGGTGACCCAGTCACCCCTGAAAACAATGGGTAATTTTTTATTTTTTTTTGGGGGGGGGGGGGGGAGGAGGTTGTAATATAAGAGAAATATTTAAAATCATTTTCTTATATTTCCAAAACTTGAGGACGGATATTTGTTTCCCTATATTTTGTCTGTAGCAAGGACAATTTGTAAGAGTTACATGACCCTTTTTTTTTTACTTGGGTGTTATTTTTATTTTAAGAATTAAAATTTGAAATTAAGAATTGAAAAGCCGTTTTTTTTTTCGATTTGATGCACAGCTAAGGTATTAATCCATAGTTTTTTTTAAACATTTAAAAAATTATAAGGGAAGGCATTTTGAAAAAAAAAGGAGAGTGCCTGCTGAAAACTGTTACTGCGGATATTATTATTCGTGGATACCAATTTTCGTGGATTTCGTGGGTGTAGGTAAACCACATACTTATATGTTCAATGAAGTACACATTTTCAATAGATTTGTATGCAGACTTTTTGACAAAACCACAACATCAAATATCCATGAAAATAGAAGTTTTCTCCAATTTACAGTACATTACTATGGTATCAATTTTTTTTTTATTTCACATTTGCATGAAAACTTTTTCAGAAGGGAAGTGAAAAAAAGATTGTTTCCAATAAAAAAAGATAAAATGCTTACTCTAAAAAAAAAATCTTGTTCCTTTGTAAGCTTTTGAAAAAAAATTGTCTGAGAAGAAAACTCATGCCTTTCCAACATAAATGGCAAGTGCCTAATACATTTCTAGTAATATTTCTCATGAATAATCAGAATTATTGGATACTGAGCCTTTCCTGTAAGCCATGTATATTTTAATAATACAGCCAAACCTTACAATAGATCTTATATGAGAAGTTTTTTTCCCTCAAAAAGATAGCTTTATAAATGTGTTCAGTTGGATGTGTAATGATATTTTATCCAAAATGCATTGTTAAAAATGATATTTTTATGAATTGTGTTCTTTTGTATGGTTTAATACTTTCAATCCAAAATGCATTTATTAAAAAAAATAGGGCTTTATCAATTGTGTTGACAGTGTTCTATTCAATGACTTAATATTTTCAATCGAAAATGCATTTAAAAATTGTAATTTTAAGCATATGAAAATATCTGTTATAAGATATTTCCTACATACAGTGAATTATATCTAAACTGAACTTAAAGAGACTGAAGATGTTCTTCAAAATAGAAAGGTATTTGCTTTACACAGGTTAAATTATTAAAGAATATTTATATTATGTCCTGATTCAAGATTTCAGTTTAGACAGGTCAATGGATTATGCAGTGTTAAGTTTCAAAGATTTCACTATGCTATGGAAATTAATGCATGCTTTATGCATGTTAAGCTATAATTAATGGTCATTCAAATCTTTGCAATGAGATTATATACATGTTAATGGGAAATTAATTTTGAAACTATGAACAAGAAATTTTTATTATTGGGCTGTTCCAGATTTATAAACACATATGGGATGGGAGGCTCTTAAATTGATAATTGTGGGTGGTTGCATTTTCTTTAGAAATTTGTAAGAATTATAAGTAAAATGAAAATTTTATATTATTGGTGGATGGGGGTCTAAAATAAGTTCCTACCCTCCCTTTCCATGTATTTAAATCTGGAACAGCCCTAAAATTCATCTTCTTTCATTGTAGTTTAAAAAAACCTGCATATGAATCAGTTCTTAAGTAACATTGTTGTGTAATTGTATATCTTATGAATGCTATCATATTCTTGCCATTACAAATGAAAGCATTAAAAGAAATCCAAATAAGATTAAATCTAGTCAGATGTAGTTGAAGAGTTCATTTCAATTACGGGTAGACATTGCTCTTTAAATTTAGAAGCACTGTTCTCCATCTCAAAGATATTCCTCTTTTACTGCATTAATTATTTATGTTGCTCATTGTTGAAGGCCGTATGGTCATCTAAAGCTGTTAACTTCTATGTCATTTGGTCTTTGGTGGAGAGTTGTCTCATTGACAATCATACCACATCTTTTTATTATACGTTTAGGTAGCTTTATTCACTCAGTTAACTAACCTGACATAAAAAACCTCTGTCCCATTTTTATTCTGTTAATGAAACCATTACCATTTGTATAATATTTGAAAACAGCAAAATTATGTGATTAAAGAAATGTTTGTCATTTTATACATGTATCTTCATTTTGTAATTATCTACATGTAAGAAAGATTGGGATCAAAGTTGGTGATTTCAAAATTGATTATGGAATGTGCATGTGCAAAAATTAATGAAAATTTGTTACACTTATAATCAGGTGCTTAAACTAGGATATTCTAAATACTTAACCAAATTTCCCAATGTACAAGTCTTGTTAATAATTTGGGGTAGTTTAACTGTCCAGCAGGTTGCTCCAATATTTTTTAGTATTGCTTTAATAGGTAAAACTTTACCTTAGATTTACCTGAGTTCCACCTGAGCAATTTTTTTTCAACTCCTGATATTTTTTTAATCTTTTTATAAAACCTTATTCATTTAATTCACAAGAAAACACTTCTACGATTTTTGTTGTAAAAAACAAATAACATTGGTCATACTATCATAGAGTGTATAGTTTAAAGCAGATGAGAGTATATTTGTATAACCAGGAGTTTGTATTAGGAGATACTGTCAAAATACCTTTACAGGGTATAAGGGATTTAGATTTTAATGACTTGATGAAAAATCATTGTTTTATGTAACTTTTTAATTTGTGATTTTAGGCTAGACAATTTATAAAAACAGATATGAATTTTCATTGGATTTTTAATCAACCATAAGATCCATGAAAACTGATGCTCATGTATGAAAGTATTTTTTACAGTAATCTTCAATATACATGTATATATTTTCTTGCTTTTTTATGTTAACAGAAAATATATTCTACACATTTTTTCATTTCATTTTAATTTTATGTCATGCCCATCTTTCTATCTTTCTTGTTACGAAATCCAGGATGTCTGCTTTAACAATTTTCTCCAAATAAATGTTTGCCAAAATATTTAAACAAGTACATATATTTATCATTGCTTGAAATAATTTTTTGTCCTGACACCTTAAGGAAGTTTTGTTGAACTATTTGATGTGCATGCATATATTTTTACAGATCCATATACAGTTCTTATAAACTTTTGATATACATGTACAACCATTCTAAAGAATCTGCTGATGTTACAAATTGAAAATTCAATGACCCATGACCTACATTTCAAGGTTCACTGGCTTGAGTAGGTAAATATGTCAAACATTAAAGATCAATTCTAAGATACTATAATCAGAAATCTTTTGTAAGGATACACCCAAGATTTATGATTTTCTAATTCCAACTTAAGTTTGCATTCCACAGATATTTGATTACTAATAACTTATTACATGGTGAACTTTCTATTTTATTTTGGATGAAAATAATATTTGGGATTCTGTAACCTGCCCATAACTTAACATAGACATTGCCATATCTTTAGAAAGTGTTAGACATTTTGCATCCTCATAAACCAGTGACCTGACCACAATTTAAGGAGTAATACCACCATTGTTTTCCCCCTATTAGTCTTTGTTAAATTGGCACTTTTCAAAAAATTGTGCAGAATTTATCTTTGGTTCAAATAAAGAAATACTTGGCATGAGAAGTTTATCCTGTCCAGTACTACAGACAAAATTTCACATAACATTTCATTACATATAAGATAATAACCATCACTTGAAGTTAACTATCAAATTGTCACCCCCTTAATCCTGTTTACAAGCTCTAGTAACCATGTAACCTCAAGTTTCCAAAATATTTTATAGAAACACCAAATATAAGGAGAATTGTGCTTTGAAACACCCAAGATATATGTTTGTAACTCAGAATTTTTTTTCTGCAACGAAATGCAGGGTTAACTTCCTACAACTGTCACAACTGTCAAATTCAAGGGAATTTTTTTTTAACCCTTTTTTGTGTGAAACTGGATGTGACGTACTATGATTTGGTGGTATTACACCTTAAGGTTCATAAACATTTTCAGTGCCTAATGCATTGTACAACCTCTATTTCTTATTTTTTTATTTGTATATTTTCCAACAGAAAAACATCAACTCTATGATATTGCACTAATTTGTAATGTATGCTCAGTTTTTCTGGTTGTTCATGAAACCAATCGTCTAAAAACCTTCAATCTATTAAGTGAAGAGCATGCATTATTAACAAACTTTTCAGCTGGCGAAGTCGGTTATAAACAATGGTGCTGTTGTACCATTTTCCTATTTGCTTTTACTTTCAAGTATTACTTAATCTATACAATTTTATAACCATTGTTGTTATTTCTATCTGAAGTCTCACAATTGTTATTGATAATAAAAATTAATTAAATCTAGTCGTTCTTTTTTTTTACAATTAACTTTAATCAAATAGCTTTAAATCAATGATTTCTTCTCACCAGTGACAAATATCCCAAGAAACATCCAACTTTTGTTGGCCTCTGAGGAGATCCATTCGAGAACAAGTACTTTGCTGTGTGTTTGTTTATTCCACATTGGCTAGAGGTATCGGGGGAGTGTTGAGATCCCACAAAACATATTTATACCCGCCGAATTTTTGTGCCTGTCCCAAGTCAGGAACCTCTGGCCTTTGTTAGTCTTGTATGTTTTTTAAATTTTGGTTCATTTATATGTTTCGAAGTTTAGTGTGACGTCCATTTTCGCTGAACTAGTATACATTTTCGTTTAGGGACCAGCTGAAGCCTGCCTCCCAGTGCGGGAATTTCTCGCTATGTTGAAGACCCATTGGTAGCCTTGGGCTGTTTTCTGCTCTTTGGTCAGGTTGTTGTCTATTTGACACATTCCCTGTTTCCATTCTCAATTTTATATGTACTTATGATTAGTGAAAACCTGGTTTTTTGGTGACAAATTATACTGAAGTGTTCGTGTAAACTAGTTGCAAGCAGTGAATAAGGCTTTTCTTCTCATAATTGTTTCAATGACTTAAGAATTTTTATGATTTTTAACTGGATTTCCAAAGATAAATAT